TCAACCATATTCTAGTGACTGGGAGTCTTCCCCCCACTATGTTATTGGGGATAGGGTTTACATTATTGCCATTTTGGGGGAGAACCACTTGACAGTATATATGTTAAGAGTATTAAGAATATTTTTATTGGGGCGACTGGGTGGCTCAGTTGGATAAGCATCCGACTCTTGAATTTTGACTCAGATCGAACCTCGCATTGGGTTCCCCGTGCTCAGTAGGGAGTCTGCTTCTCTCTTTCTCTCCCCCTCTAAAATAAACAAATAAAATCTTTTAAAAAGTTTGTGCTCCTTGACTCAGTAATTCCACTTTAAAAAATCTAAAAATGTAAGTAGAAAAGTAAAGATTTATGGACAAAGATATTTATAACAGCATTATCTGTAATAGTGAGACAAATATACATGGCTACACACCCATATAAAAAAAGGTAGCTTAATAACCCAAAAGGGAGTGCTTAAGAAAATTAAAGCACATCTATTCAATAAAGTATCTATGGCTGTTATAGGTTGTTTATTTAATGAGTAAAAATGATCATTAGATAAAAAATGAATAAAGCATGATTTAAAACTATCGCATATATGTTATAATCTCAGTTATGTGTATATATACACACACACACACACACACACACACACACACACATATATGGAAAGGATTAGAAGGAAATGCATCAAAATATTGATGTGTTATCTTTAGGTGGTAGAATTGCGTTTACTTGCTTTTGTTCTATGTTCTACACGTTGCTGAATGTGTAGTGGGTTTTTTTGGTCAATGAATATTTATAGAAACTTTCTGTTAAGAGTTTTCTACTTGTAAAAGTAATATATTCATTGTTGAATATGTGAAGAAAACTTGAATATTTTATTTAAAATATCATCTGCCTGTTAACTACATTGGGTGCTTTAAAATTTTTTTAAATGAGAAAAACACTGAAGTTTGAAACATGACATTGTAATTTAACTCAGAATCTTATTCCATCTGATATGATTTAAATCACAATTCTGTTTTTAATTGTTGCATGAGAATATTTAGATGTTGTGTATGCTAGAACGGAGGTCAAACAGCCTTTGGCGAGTGGGAAGCCAGAAACGCTGTGCGGGCAGTGGGCTGGTGTGATCCTTCCGTGGACCTTTCTTCTGCTGCCCCCTGTTTCCAGATCAGAAGAGAGGGTATGAGGAGGACGGGGTAACAATTTCTATGCAGAGGAAATTAAGGTTGCTGTCTCCCTTGCCGGGGTAGGTTTCTGTATGTAAGAAAAGCAACATATGTGTTAAGACCTGTAAGAAGACAGTAGGAGCCTTGTTCTGTTGTGGTAAACTTGATCAAAAAAACAAAATTGGGGGCGTCTGGGTGGCTCAGTGGGTTAAGCCTCTGCCTTTGGCTCAGGTCACGATTTCAGGGTCCTGGGATTGAGCCCCACATTGGGCTCTCTGCTCAGCAGGGAGCCTGCTTCCCCCTCACTCTCTGCCTGCCTCTCTGCCTACTTGTGATCTCTCTCTCTCTCTCTGTCAAATAAATAAAATCTTGAAAAAAAAATTGTCCATTTGTTGAAGCAGTGCAGGGGAAATACAGAAATATTTACATTATATATAAATATACATATAGTTGTTGTTTTCCAGTAACTTCTTAGTTCAATAATAACAGTAACACTAACACTAAGAGTTTCCTTTTTGGGGGGGTGCAAAGATAGTACTTTTGGAAGCGACATAGCATTAAACAGTTTTCCAGGAGTGCTAATGGATATACTCTGCTTCATACATCACCCCACTTTCCTTGTGGTCCGCAGTGTTTATTTGTGAGATTAGGTCACTGTTGGTGGCGTTCGCATGTAACTTCAAGCTACCTGACTCCTTTCGCAATGGAATCCAGGCCCTCGTTCTCACTGTTCTCTAACGTGGCGAGCTTTCCTTGGGTATCAACGAAGTCAACAAATACTTACGATACGGTCGGAAGTTCTTTCCAGCCTCCAAAATCAGCTGACAGCACGTTGCAAGGAACCCAATGGAAAGATAGAATTCATCCCAGATGATCCTGTGGGATCGTTTAGGTAGCAGTAATGAGCTGTGAAGTTTTAAAGGACAGCTGTAACGTAACTCACCAGATCATGTGCTGGGGTTAAAGTTGACTCCGCTGTTTGTTTCACTGCTTTCTGATAAATAAATCGTTGAGGAAAGATTTGGCAAAAGGAACGCCCCTCCTTGTCCTCCTCCTCTCAGGACGGCGGCTCCTGTTAACAAGTTTGAGTGTTTACTTTGCCTTGACTGCTGACCAGTGGTGTGTCAGTCCTTGCCGTTGAACCAAGTGAGAATTCAAATAAACCAAAAACAGGTTTTCACACAGCTGGCCTCTTCCGCCAGTGAGTGGTACCAGAATATCCTCTCCCACTTTTTGAGAGAGGTCAGCAAGAAAAAACTTCACAGGCGTCCGTGATCTGATGATCTGTGATCCAGATGAACTTGAATTGGCAACTCCTAGATTTTGGAGCGCAAGGTGCCGAGAAGGAAACAGATCTCGGGAGATGTTATTTGATGACTTAGAAGCCACACTTAAGGTCCATGCATTCTATTTCTACCCGATTTTATCAAAGGTTAGAATTGACCTTTGCATACGTGAATATGCACATAGAATTCCCATTTCTAAAACGTCATTCATGTAGCTTTCTCGTTACATTTTCTGGTAGTAATATTCCATAGTCCTAGATTGAGTGGCCAGCCCTGGCCAAGTAGGCGTGTGGGGGAGAATTTGCAGACATAATAACCACTCTTTGGATCCCTAGCCTAGCAGGGTACCTGGCTTAGAGTAGGCACTATTAATATTTTCGCTGATTTTAAAAAATCATGTATATGAGTGAATGAACGGATGAAGGAATAAAATATATAGCTAGAATATGCCGAATTCATGTGAGATGACAGGTCTCATTAAATACTACTTTTTAAGGTACTTCTGGGAATTACATTATATTGAGGTATTCCTTTCATTTTGAAAAATGTCTCTTCGGCGCCTGTTTTTGGCTGGGTGTTAGAATTTACAGTGTTAAATACCGGCTCGGTTTTGCCTTCCAGGAGGACATAGTTATGTAACCAGATACATTTCAGAACAGAGGGATGAGTCCACGGGTAGATATGTGTCCAAGGCGTAGAGCAACGTAGAGGAGGAATGAACCATATCTGGAAGGTGGCACGGACATTGTTAATTCTAGTAATTTTATTTGTCATGTTTATTGCCCATTCCCACTAGAGTAGATGGGGTACATTTTTGCCTGTGTCACTTATTCCTATTTATATATTTTTAAATTGCTCTCTTGCAAGCTTCTAGAGTAGTACCTGGCAAGTAATAAGTATTCCATAACGATTTGTCACACAAATGAATGATTTTTGATAGATATTGTAAATCCCTCCAGAAAGAATTTACCAATATTTCCACCAGCAGTAGATGATTGCGATTTTTTTAAAAAAGATTTTATTTATTTATTTGACAGAGAGAGATCACAAGTAGGCAGAGGCAGGCAGAGAGAGAGGAGGAAGCAGGCTCCCCATTGAGCAGAAAGCCCGTCCCAAGACCCTGGGATCATGACCTGAGCCGAAGGCAGAGGCTTTAACCCACTGAGCCACCCAGGTGCCCTGGTGATTGCGATTTCTACCCACATCCTTTACCAGGGCTGGGTTTTGTGAAACCTTTTTTTTTCAGCCTTAGCTCAATGTGTTATCTCTGCATTAAACAAACACAAAAATGAACCTTCCCTTGACTGCTGTGTGTCTCCAGCAATTCTCCCTATTTTTCTGCTTTTATAGCAAAGCTCTAGAAGGAATTTCCTGTGGTTTCTTCGTTTCCTCCCTTCCCATTCTGTCCTGAACCCACCATCAGGTGCTAGTCCCTCCTCCATTGAAACCATTCTTGTCAGTATCACCTGTGCGTTATGGTGCCTTCAAAGCCTTACTGTATTTCTCAGCAGTGTTTCCAGTACTTGCTCATGCTTTCCTTCTAGAAATAGGTTTTTTCCCCATTTTTTCCCCCTGGACACAACATTCTCCTGGATTTCTTCCTGTTTCATTGGCTACTTCTTCATGGTCTCCCTGGCTATTTCCTTCTCTGCTTGGTCTCTGAAGACTGAAGTATCCCAAGGTTCCTGCCTGTTCTCTCCTCTCCTATCATACTTTCCTTAGAACTCATTTAGTGCTGGGGCTTTCATGGGTCTGATGTCTGTATTTCTGACATCTCTATTTCCAGCTCTGACTTCACACAGTTCTGGACCCCATTATGCACCTGTTGACTTGATAGTAGTACTCGGATGCCTCGTGGGTATCTCAGACTTACCTTCCCAAAACAGAATGGCTGACTAACCTCTTCAGTCCGTCTCCCCCTTTCTGGGCTTCCCCATTTCAGTAAACAGAGCTATTGTGGATTCTGTTACACCAAAAACTAAGAGTTAACCTTGACACATCTTTCAATTTTACCCTCTAGCCACGTGTTGAACAAATCTGTCGGTTCTACCTTTAGAATATATTCTGAGTCCACTTTCCTTACCACCTCCGCAGCTGACTCACAGGTCTGACCCACCATGTGCTCATCTCTCTCCTGAGTGATTACATTACCTCCTACTTGGTCTCCCTCTTCCCTTCCTGCCACAGTTCCGTCTAGTCTCACCATAGTGGTCTGTGGGTCTACAAAAAGCACTGAAATGGTATCTGGCACATACGAAACACTATGTAAATGTTTGTTTTTATTTTTTATTTTTATTTTTTTTACTGTTTCTGTTTTAGCACTGTAAAGGGGGGATGCATTTTGGTGGTGGTGAATTTTAGATGCTTGTACAAATACTAACAAATGCATACAGGCAGCTGAATCAAGTATTCATGTAAAGCGATGGATTCTGTATAATAGGAGATATTGTCTTAGCGCCTTGGAAGGATGAGCAAAACTCCCGTTAGCTTAGTGTCTAGAGATTAGTGTGAATTGGGAAGATACGGGTCATCGAATGCCTTATATCTGCCACACTTTCTACAGAGCTTTCAAAGTAAATGGCAGCCATCATGCTCACAACTGGGACTGTTCAGATATAGGATTTCAGCTGTTTTGGGGGTGTAGATGACCTTTTCCTCCTTTCTTTTTTCTGGACGTCTTTTAGTGAGCCAACGCCCGGAAGTCTGTCCTGCCTGCTTCTGTAATCTGGCGCTATGCATCCAGATCCTTGGCCTTTACAGACACTGCTGTACCTCGTTACTCTCACGGTTCTGTGCCCTTCTGTGAATTCAGGTAAGAGCTGAAGAATGGTAGTGGGGTTTTTTGTTTTTTTTTTTTAAATTTTAAACCTTAATTCCAGTAACATACAGTGCTGTATTAATTTCAGGAGTATGATACGGCGATTCCGCCATTCTCTACATGACTCCGTGCTCGGCCACCATACGTGTGCCCTTTAATCCCCAAGAATGGTCATGTCCAAACACCCAACTATTCCTCTTCTTAATCCTATAAAGAAACAAACTTCAGCTTCACATCCTCACCAGCGATCATAGTTTCCAAAGACATTTCTAAGATTTCTTTGACCCAGCTGAATGATTTAAAAAACGGATTCATTCAGCAATTTCAGGATCTCTTGGTAGTGCTTCTGGGCCTCAACAGGCCTTCCCATTATTTTCCTTAAAATTTATTCCTCTTGTTGCCTTAAAAACAAGTATCGTCCTATCACGTTCTTTTCAATAAGAGGATATGTTGCGAGTGTCTGAATTTGGAAATTGTAACAGGAATAAAATGCTGACTCCACATCACTGAAGAAATTTTAGAATCAGCATGTATTAGGACTCAGCTTGGAGAGAACTTGGTTCTTGGAGAGAACTGTCACTCTCTCACATAACCTTGTCTGAGTTTCTCTCCACTTCTGTTACTGAAAAGCTTAAAAACATAGATTGTTGGGGCACCTGGGTGGCTCAGTGGGTTAAAGCCTCTGCCTTTGGCTCAGGTCATGATCCCACTGTCCTGGGATCAAGCCCCACGTCGGGCTCTCTGCTTCGCAGGGAGCCTGCCTCCTCCCCTTTCTGCCTGCTTCTCTGCCTACTTGTGATCTCTGTCTGTCAAATAAATAAATAAAATCTTAAAAAAAAAAAGATTAAAAAAAAAAAACATAGATTGTTAAATGTGTACATAAGCCTGTGCCCAGCACATGGCCCTCAGGCATTTCTTTTAATTTTAGATTTGTGTACAGATTCCTATAGAAGTCATAAAGAAATACGAGTGATGTTTATTCATTAAGTAATATTTATTATCTCTTAAGAATACTGTATGACGGGACGCCTGGGTGGCTCAGTTGGTTAAGTGACTGCCTTCGGCTCAGGTCATGATCCTGGAGTCCTGGGATAAAGTCCTGCATCGGGCTCCCTGCTCAGCAGGGAGTCTGCTTCTCGCTCTCCCACTCCCCCTTCTCATGCTCTCTCTCTCTCAAATAAATAAATAAAATCTTAAAAAAAAAAAAAAGAATACTGTATGACTTTTTATAAGCCAAAAGCTGATCTGCTGGTTTTATTTCTGTTTTTGTTCAACAAACCACCTCAGGATTTAGTCAAGAGAGGCACTTCCCTCAATCTTCATTTCTGGTGAAATATCCTGTGAAAGTAGGGTTAGCAATTTTCTGATTTTTTTTTTTTTCTTTCAAGTAGTTTATCCCCCCAGATTAACAGTATTCTTGTTCCCCCACCCTTTTGGGTGGGCAGGGGACATATGTTTTGATACGTGAGAATGCACCCTCTCCCCCAAGCTGCTGAGGAAATGATGGCACATATAAAACTATTCTAAACACCGAATAAAACTTAAAATTGACACTCTACTTAGCTTTATACCGCCCAAAAAGGATAGACTTTGTATTTCAGCATGACTGGACGTTGTTTTATATTAAAGGGAAGTAGTAAGACCGTAGCCATTATTTATAGAATAACCTAGTCTTAAAATCAAATCCTTGCTGATGTAGGAGAGAATTCTTTTTATTTTGCAAGTTAGCTTCAATTTTTCAGATTCTTAACTTGTATTCCCTAGAAACTACTTCATAAAAAGAGCCATTTGCCATTTCTCCTTACAGAATTGGTATGTTGTCTGATTTATATCAGAAGGTTTCTCACCTCTTCTACCCTAATCACTAAGTCTTAGGTTAACGTGTTGCCCTTTTTTCCTTCCAAAAACGGTTGTATAAAAATGTTCCTAGAACTTTTACAAGCATTAAGAATAGTAACAGGTATTTTGAAATAAGGGCTTGCCTGTAATTACATAGATTGAGGTGAAATGTATTCAATATACTCTTCTTTCTCTCTCCCCTTACCTCCTTTCTCTCCCACTCCCCCTGCCCCTTGGCACGTGGGGAATGTTTCCTTATAGGGTTGGCACCTTATTTTATTTCTGAGCCACTGTCCGCCGTCCAGAAACTTGGTGGACCCGTAGTACTACATTGTTCTGCTAAACCTGTGACTGCTCATATCTCATGGTTGCATAATGGAAGAAGACTGGATAGAAACATGGAACAGATTAAGATTCATCAGGGGACTTTGACTATCGTGTCTCTTAATCCCTCCCTTTCGGGTTCCTACCAGTGCGTCGCCAACAATAGCGTTGGGGCCATTGTCAGCAGCCCTGCGACAGTATCCGCTGCTGGTAAGTTGAATTTTGTCTCTGATATCTATGCTTTTTCCTAGAATTACCGTTAGCACTCGCGTTGTTGAATGGAGGGAATTCCGAGCGTGGGCTGTGGAGTAAATGCATTGGAGTTCTCATCCCAGCCTTGACTCTTGCTGTGTGTTTAACTTGGGGGAAATGTCCTTGAACCTCTGTGAGCCTAATCTCCTGTCTTCATCTATAGGGGGCATGGAAATAACTTCTCCGTTGTTAGGAACACAGTTTTCTAATGCGAATTCTGAATTCCTTTGTGAATATTTAAAAGCCCTTAACAGCAACAGCAACAAAAAAGCTGTTGTCTCCTTTGATACTCAGTTGTTTCCCGCAGTCCTTTATCTTTCATATCTAATGGTCTTATTTGTCTTGATTACCGAGTGATTTTAATTTATGTAATTGAAACCAGGCTAAAGAAGCAGGAAAAAAAAAATAATTGACCGTAGCAAAAGGAATGTTGAGTATTGAACTTATGGAAAATCTGGAATGTGGTGGTTTTCTTAGTAGGTTTGAGCCATCTGCCTTTCAAATGGTGATGGCTTCCAGTAATGGAAAATGTCTTTGTAAGGGGACCCCTATTTACAGAACAAATCTGGATTCCCCAGGAGTCGTGAGTTTGTCATAACCGAGAAGAGTAAATGTTTTTGTAGAGCTGTGACCCATGGACCGCTCCAAGACACACACTGGAAAGGCCGAATTCCTAGTGGCAGGCGGCCGAATGCTTTCAGCCTTGGAGATAATAAAGTGGCTCCATCTGTAGCGAACTTTAAGTAGTGAGAGGGATTGAGAGAGAAATGATACCCTGCTTGGTTTTTCAATGTCCTAGGTTCGTTCCTGTGAACCATTTTATTGCCGTGTGAGTACCCACAGAATAAAGATGCATAGGGAACGTGAGTTTTGATGAGGGACTGGATTTGAAAAGGGTTTAATCCCAACAGAATGGGAAGGGCTATGCTTTATAGTTCTCCCGGACCTTTTAAAATTAATTAATTAATTTTTAAGAAGATTTTTTTATTTGACAGAGAGAGTATACGTGCACACGAGTAGGCAGAGCCTCAGGCAGAAGGAGAGGGAAGAAGCAGGAAGGAGCTGGATACGGGCCTGATCCCAGGATCCTGGGATCGTGACCTGAGCTGAAGGCAGATGCTTAACCCATGGAGCCACCCAGGTGCCCCTCTCCCTGATGTTTTAAGAGCCGTTTGCTTTTCTTGTAGTCTCCTAGAAGCACTGACCTCTGGAAAAGGTTGCCATGACTTAGCTCGAGCCCTACCCCAGCTACTTTCTGAGATAAAAAAAATCACACCACTCTGTAAAGGGAGATCGGCTGCCACCAATGGCCACGCTGGCAGTTGTGGCTCCTGGTTTTTTAAATTTCCTTTGGGGAAGAGAGTTCAAGTTCGCATTTATTTATTTTTCTACTTATTTACTTACTTCTTTTAGTTCTCGGTGACTTCAGTTCAGCAACAAAGCATGTTATTACAGCAGAAGAAAAGAGTACTGGTTTCATTGGCTGCAAGGTACCAGATAGTAACCCCAAGGCCGAGGTGCGCTATAAAATCCGGGGAAAGTGGCTGAAACATTCCACAGGTGAGACCTTCTACAACAAAAACTAGTGGCGCCCATAGAATAAAATGTCATTTGCCTGCTGTTGAGCAATGTGTGCTAGGGACTGTGCATACCAAAAAATAATGCATAAGCTATACTGATTGTTTCTGTTCTCCAAAGTGGAGACAAGCACAAGTGGCGACAGTATATAAGTAATTACAGCCTCATTCATTCAGGTCTCTACTCATATATTTCTTCTACTGAGAAGACCTCTGTCATGGCCCCCATCTAAGATATTATGCCCTGTTGTTCTCTGTCCCCTTTACTTGGCTTCTTCTTCTTTTTTCTTCCCACAGCATTGTGTTATATGTAGTTTTGTTTGCTTGTGTCTTATTTACCCCTTTCTCTGCCACCCCCATTTCCCGCGTTGGAATGTTGGCTGCGTGAGTGTTAGGCTTTTGTCTGCCTTCTTGATGGCTGTGGCATCTGTGACTGGGCCCTCGCTGGCAGGATTTGTTGAGAAAAAATGAAAGAATAGGCATGAATGGACACTGGGGATCAGTGCTGTAGGTGGAGGTCTGCTCAAGGTGGTAGCTCTGGTCATTGTCTCTTTTTCTAAATATGCCTGTGCTTTCAGCATTCTCAACAAATGATCTGTTGTCAGATGTTTCTGTTGGGTTTAATTTTTTTTCCTCTAGTACTGTTGACTTCTTTTCCCCCTGCCTTGACTTTCCCTTTCTTTCATTTAATACATTTTTCCTGACTGCTCACTTGCTGCTCTTCTCACATCTGAATTTAAAGCACAACTATCAACCTTCATTTGTTGTGATTGGTATCTTCTAGAGGCTTAACTGCATTCCCTTCTCTCCTCAGAGAATTACTTAATCCTTCCGTCGGGAAATCTTCAGATTTTGAATGTGTCTTTAGAAGACAAGGGATCATATAAATGTGCAGCTTTTAATCCTGTCACACATGAATTAAAAGTTGAACCCATTGGCCGAAAGCTTCTTGTGAGTCGTAAGTATTTGGGAGAATAATGGTAACTAGGAAGAAGTTACCTCAGAGGCCTTCCTTATAAAACATTGGGAAATCAGAGTTCATCCTCTTTGCTTATCGTAAGAGAGTCTTATGAAACATTAAATACATAAATGCATTATGGAATGCTTTTGAACATGTTTTTATTTATTTATTTATTTTTTAAGATTTTATTAATTTATTTGACAGAGCGAGAGATCATAAGTAGGCAGAGAGGCAGGCAGAGAGAGAGGAGGAAGCAGGTTCCCTGCTGAGCAGAGAGCCTGATGTGGGGCTTGATCCCAGGACCCTGGGAACATGACCTGAGCCAAAGGCAGAGGCTTAACCTACTGAGCCACTCAGGCGCCCTTGAACATGTTTTTAAAAGATAATGAATTTTTAGAAGAGAATTTTGGTCAAGATTGACGGAGTGGAAAGCATATAGAGAACTTGACCCTTCACTCAAGTAAAAAGAAATTACAGAGAAAATGTAACTTTATATCCATGGTAATCAAATTGGTGGCTAACTGTGAATTATGAAAAAATATGTATTTTTCTCTTGCAGGTTATGGTAGCTGAACTGGGATAGAACCAGCAGTCAAAGCACAACAAAGTAGTAGTTTCTGGTCTTGTCAGAAATCTAACATTTTCTCAACCGCTAATTCAGAAATAGCTCTAAAGGGTCACCAAGTGTTTTAATTTTAATTCTCAACTAAAAATGAATTAGCTACAAGTCAGACCTCGTAGCATAAAGAAGAATAAATGGGAAGTTGGGAAGGCTCTCACACATTTGCTAAGGAAGAGATTGGACGTGAATATTTAATACTAAAAAATCTTTTGTGTTCTTTTTCCAGGCCCTTCTTCAGAGGATTTTCACATTCTGCACCCCACCCTGTCACAGGCATTAGCTGTCCTTTCTCATAGCCCTGTCACACTGGAGTGTGTGGTGAGTGGGGTCCCAGCTTCTGAAGTGCACTGGCTAAAGGATGGTCAGGACGCTGTGCCGGGAAGCAATTGGAGAAGGTTGTATTCTCATCTTGCCACAGACAGCATTGACCCAGCAGACTCTGGAAACTATTCTTGTATAGTGGGAAACAAGTCTGGAGACATACAACGTGTGACTTACATGGTTAATGTACTTGGTAAGATGTTGCTTATTAAACTGGATTTCAAGTCAGGCTGATTTCCTGGCCTAACTGATCCTTGAATGGAAGACCTTTTTTTTTTTTTTTAAGATTTTATTTATTTATTTATTTGAGAGAGAGAGAGTGAGAGAGAGCAGGAGAGGGAAGAAGATCAGAGGGAGAAGCAGACTCCCTGCGGAGCTGGGAGCCCAGTGCGGGACTCGATCCCGAGATTCCGGGATCATGACCTGAGCTGAAGGCCATCACTTAACCAACTGAGCCACCCAGGTGCCCTTGAATGGAAGATCTCTTTGGGAACTATCAATGAAACAGGGACTAGCTAGAAACACCTATACCAGTAGTTAGAACAAGCTTTATTTTTTTAAAGGCCTGCCGAGTTTGGCAGAGTTCCACAGCATTTCTTGGTGGCACAGAACGTTTCACCTGGGATGCTCGTGAGAACCTCACCCCCAACCTGCTTATGTCATCCAGACCTTGTTCTTCCTTCCTCATGACATGGAGGACAGAAACGGGAATTCAGGGGGATGGAAGATTCTGGGCTGTATCAGTGTGCAGTACCTGGCAGTAGTAACTAAAAGTACTGACTGAAAATGTCAACTCAAAAAGGAATCTATTTCAGAGCGCCTGGGTGGCTCAGTCTATTAAGCATCCCTTTCGGCTCAGGTTGTGATCCCAGGGTCCTCGGATCGAGTCCCACATCAGGCCCTTGCTCATCGGGGAGCCTGCTTCTCCCTCTCTCTCTGCCCCTTCCCCTGCTTGTGCTCGCTCTCTCTCTCTCTCAAGTGGATAAATTAAAAACACACACACACACAAAAAAACCGATTTGATTTTATTTCCCTTTTGGGATGCTTTCACTGTATCTGGCTTATAAAATCTGCATTATTTCCACCCACATTTATATATATACACTGTATCTCAAAGCTTCTCCTTTCCTTTCTTCCAGCTACCTACCTCATGCCTAGCAGCAGAAAATGTTTTCTGTCATCAAAACAGATTTTCATGCAAGCCAGAAATAGTAGGTAGTAAGTGGTTTCATAGTAAAGACAGTTTTCATAAACTTCTACATGCGTTTCTTTGCAACAATGGCCTGACCTAGTAACACAGGAAATAAGGAAGGGTATGGCGGGTGAGCTTTAAAGTGCAGTGAAAATCAGGTTTAGATTAATATGCATAATCAGATAATTTGGGCGTATGTTACAAATGTTGGCAAATGATTTGCTTTGTCTAGGTATAAGTGATTTGATGGATCTTAAAGTATCTGTCTAAACTTAAGGCAGGGGGCGCCTGGGTGGCTCAGTGGGTTAAAGTCTCTGCCTTCAGCTCAGGTCATGATCTCGGGGTCCTGGGATCGAGCCCTGCATCGGGCTCTCTGCTTGGCAGGGAGCCTGCTTCTCCCCTCTCTGCCTGTCTCTCTGCCTACTTGTGATCTCTCTCTCTCTGTCAAATAAATAAATAACATCTTTAAGAAAAAAAAAATAATAAACTTAAGGCAGAACTGACCCTGGAAAGAATTTAACTTGCAAATTAGCATTCTTCTGTTTTGGCTCTTATTTAGTGTGAAATCCAGGGAAACTATTTATTTTAAACAAATCACCTGAAACAAAGGCTCAGAGAAGCCCAAGGGGTGTGTATGTGTGTGTAAATTAAGTGGGTTGAGAGATCTAGAAAAAGAAACAATGACATATTAGTAACATGGTTATCCTATTAGAAGAAAGTTCAAATACATTTCTAATCTTTTCTTGATGACCACAGCGGATGGGAGAATGTGAGTGAACAATGCAATTTGGTTTCAACTAGTTACTGGTAGAGGAAAGATTTTCTGTGTCTCGTGTGGTAATTTCAGGAGGTACCTCTTAGGGGCTTGAGTTTAATTTATTTGTTTGATTTTCAGAAAATGCTTCAATTTCAAAAGGATTACAGGATCAGACTGTCTCTCTGGGCGCCACAGTACAATTCACTTGTGAGGTTCACGGGAACCCAACTCCCAACCGTACCTGGTTCCATAACGCGCAGCCTGTTCGTCCTTCCCCACGACATCTCACTGCGGGAAATGGACTGAGAATCAGCGGCGTGACCCTGGAAGATTCGGGGCTGTATCAGTGTGTAGCAGATAATGGGATTGGATTCATACAGTCTACTGGGAGACTTGAGATTGAAAAAGGTAGGCTTTGGGTCCCGCAATCATAGGGAGTTTTACTTTTACAGATAGGCTTTTGTTTTGGTTGAAAATATAACATTTTTACTAAAAAGGTATAATCCTATTACCATAACAAAACTAATGGCTATTTCCCACGTTCCTTTCTAGTTCCATGATGAAGCAATATTATTTGATCAACCTCACTGGAAAAAAAGTTTTTCCAGCTTTTTTTAAACAATTACTACCTAGTTTAAAAGGCATGTGGTAAAAATCTCTCATTTTTGTTCCCCAGCCAACCATATTGCTTTTAGAACTAACTAGTTTTATCAGTTTTTCTTTCTTTTTTTAAAAAATTTTATTTATTTATTTGACAGACAGAGATCACAAGTAGGCAGAGAGGCAGAGAGAGAGGAGGAAGCAGGCTCCCCGCTGAGCAGAGAGCCCGATGCCAGGCTCGATCCCAGAACCCCGGGATCATGACCTGAGCCAAAGGCAAAGGCTTTAACCCACTGAGGTACCCAGGCGTCCCGTTTTATCAGTTTCATGAATATTCTTGTATGTGCATTTACGATCATTCACACATAACATGTCTGTGTGTATTTTAATAACATCTGTTTGTTTTTTCCCCTAAACGTTGGTGTATTCTTCACCTTGAAGTTTTCACTTAATGTATCTTGGATATCTTCCCGTATTAAAGAGTGTTTCATTCCTTTTTCAAATTGCTGCTTATTAGTATATCATGATATAGTTGTAATGATTTGGCTAGTACCTTATTGATGGCTGTTTCTAATCTTTTGCTATTTTAAGGAGTTATACAGTGAATGTCCCTCTGCGTAGATTATTTTACACAGGTTTCTATATCTGTACAATAAGTTCCTAGAAATGAACTTGCTGAATAAAAGCAGGTATGTGTTGGTAATGTGGGTAGATATCACTGAGTTGCTCTGCAAAATTGTTACTGGTTGGGGCGCCTGGGTGGCTCAGGGGGTTAAGCCTCTGCCTTCTGCTCAGGTCATGATCCCGGGGTCCTGGGATCGAGCCCTGCACTGGGCTCTCTGCTCAGCGGGAACCTGCTTCCCCCTCTCTCTTTGCCTACTGCTCTGCCTACTTGTGATTTCTCTCTCTGTCAAATAAATAAATAAAATCTTTAAAAAAAAAAATTATTACTGGTCTTTATACTCTTACCGTCCAGCAACGTGTAACTGCCTGTCTCCTCGTATCCTCACCAAGGCAGGGTGTTATTTGTTTTTTAAATCTTTGCCAATCTGCTAGGTTAAAAAAAGTACCTTTGGATCTATGTTTCTTCTATTATGGTGAATTGGGCTTCTTTTCACGGGTCTGAGTCATTTTAATTTGCTTTCCCATATATTGACTTTTCGTTGTCCTTTGTCCATTTTAAACATTAGATTGTTGGTCTTCTTTCTTGTGGACTGGTAGTTCTTTATATATCAGGGGAATCGATCTTTTGTCTCTGAGCTAGAACTGTTGCCAGCGTCAAACCGTCAGTGTCATCCAGGCCAGTTCTCTGATCTTCGCGCAGTTATTTTAGAAGTTAATAGTAAATAATTTTTAATTGGCATTTATTTGGAAATGTAAAATTATACTCCTCAATAGTGGAGTTAAAAAAAAGCTATAATGGAAATTTAATATACTTTGGTAATGAAAATGCCACAGATCGAATCATGTAGGATATAGCAAAAATGGAACTTGGCAGGAAATGTGTGCCCTTGAATGCTTATAAAGAAAAGTTTTTTTCATAAGAAAACTGGTAGGACTGAAAATTAGTGAGCTTAAGTGAAATAACAGAAGAGATTTAAAGCAGAGGAAAAGAGATAATAAAGATAGGATCAGAAATCAGTTGAACAGAAAATGAAGATAAAGGAGAGAGGATCCGTAAAGAAAAAGTTGGTTCTTTGTAAAATCTAATGGATAAATCTTTGGCAAAATACGAATAAACAATAACAGGAACAAAAAGTAAAAGCCTTATAGAGACTAAAAGTAAGAATGTGATGAACTTTGTGCCAATAACTTACAAATATAGGCAGAAATGGACAAATTCTTAGGAAAAATACAGCTTAGTAAGGCTGTGACTTAAAAGGAATTAAAAAGCCTGAATAGTTCTGTACTGTCGGGAGGAAACTGATTAGGAGTTTAAAATCTTCCCACAGAGAAAACACCAGGCCAGCAGGTTTTGTGGAGAGTTCTACTAAGCTTTTAAGTAACAGGCCATTCCAAATATTACACAAACCCTTCCAGAGAAAAGTAGAAAATGGGAACTCTCCAGTCAGTATGATTTTTAGAATCAAAACTTTGATTCTAAAAATCATAAGGGAATGGCATAAATAAGGAAGATCAAAAGTCAGTCTCATTTATAACCCAGATGCAGAAATCCTATGTAAAATATTAGCAAGCCATCCATATATAAGAAAAGGAAATCTATCTTGTTTAAGGAGTTATCCCAGGAATCTGTCAGAAAATTTAAAGTGTCACTCATCCTTTTGATTGAATAAAAAAGGAAAATAATATGATTATATCAACAGAGGCAGAAAAATTTGACATATTTCAGTATCCCTGTTACACGCTCTTAGAAGAATAGAAGTAGAAGGGAATTTTCTTAATTTGATAAAAGTATCTAACAGAAACTTACCAGAAACATCCCTTTTAGTGGTGAAATATTGGAAACATTCTCTTAAAAATCTCTTGTGTTTATCATCATACTGGAGATTCTGACCACAGAAGGACAAGAAAAATAAGCAATCTAAGGATAAGAAAGAAAGAAACCAAATCATTATTAATTTATAACTGCCGTGATTGCCAACATAGAGAATTCTCAGTTTGCTGGCAAATTACTAGAAATAATAGAAGCATTTAGCAGGGCTGGCGGACACCAACAGGCAAGAATCAGTGTCTTTCTAGATGCCAGTGTATTAGGTTTCTCCAGAGAAACAAAACCAATAGAATATATAAGATATAAAAAAGAAGTGATTTATTATAGGAATTGGCTCACATGGTTATGGAACTGGAGAAGGAGGAAAGCCAGTAGTGTGATGTGTTTGTGGGGAGGAGGAGGAGCTGATGGTGTGAGTCCTGACCGAAGTCCGAAGGCTGGAGAAACAGAAGGGCTGATGTCCGGTGTCCGAGGGCAGGAGAAGGTGGATCAGTTTTAGCAGAGAGAGAATTCACCTTTCCTCTGCATTTCATTCTACAGGGCACTCAGCAGACTGCACGGTGCCCACCCATGATGGGCAGTGCCACCTGCTGTACTCTGTTCACTAGCTCTCATGCTGATCTCTTCCAGAAGCACCATTGCAGACACACCCAGTTATCTGGACATCCCTTAGCCCAATCCAGTTGACACGTAAAATTAATCATTATAAGCAGCAACAAACAGAAAATATAATTTCAAAGTCACCTTTCAGTATTGGCAACATTAAAAAGACCCAGGTAACTTAGAAAGGTAGACCAGTTGGTGGATAACCCAAATTCAGTATTAGACAGCTGTCAGGTCATTTCAAAACCTCTTCTGTAGATTCGTGCAATTTCAATTAAAATCCTATCAGAATATTTTGAGAATCTTGACAAACTGATTCTGAAATTTGTATGGATGAGCAAAGGCCCAAGAATAGCTAAGACATAGGAAAAGAAGAAGAAAAAGAACATGGGGGGCTTGTTTTTACAGATATTAGTATACAAAAATCTGTGGCAATTAAAATATATCACAGTGGTGCACGAACAGATAGACTCTTAGAATGAGACAGAGACCACCAAAGAGACATTTGCACATAAGGACTTGACTTAGGTCATATTGCTGTTGACCAAGAGGAGGCTATCCATTTCAAGTTTTGATGCAGGATAACTGGTTGTCAAAATGAAGAAAAATTAAATACCTACGTCATAATGTATACAAAGACAAATTCCTAGTGGTTTAAAGTCCCATCTATGAAAGGAATAATGACAAAAAGGGAAAATAAATTTATTTATTTATTTATATAGAGAGTGTGAGTGGGATTGGGGGAGGGGCAGCAAAAGAGTGAGAGACAGAATCCCAAGCAGACTCCCTCCTGAGCACGGGGGCCCCGATGCGGGGTTTGATCTCACAACCCTGAGGTCATGACCTGAGCCAAAATCAAGAGTCAGATGCTTAATCGACTGAGCCACCCTGGCACCCTGAGATGGCAGAATTTTTGAAGAAAATACAGGAGAGTGTCTATCTGATTGGGTTTCAAAACTTAAGACACTTTGAGCTAATTTTTTTAAAAAGATTGATGCAACTCCATTGAAGTTAGAACATCTTTGTTATTAAAGGATACCACTAAAAATGGAAAGAAAAGCAATACACCGTGAGAAGCTACTAGTAACATGTACAACTAATAAAAGAACAGTATCTGGAATTTCTGAAGAACTCTGAACCATGACAAAAGAGATAAAAAATATGTACAAAAGTCATTTCACAAGGGAGGGAAAATATCGGTGACACAGGTGAAAAGATGTTCAACTTCATTAGTACTCAGGGAGATGCAGGTTATGTCCAGTGAGGCAAGCTGTTACACTGACTAGATTGGCAAAAATTCAGAAATGTGGGGCGCTTGGGTGGCTCAGTGGGTTAAGCCTCTGCCTTCGGCTCAGGTCATGATCTCAGGGTCCTGGGATCGAGCCCTGCATCGGACTCTCTGCTCAGCAGGGAGCCTGCTTCCCTCTCTCTCTCTGCCTGCTGTTCTGCCTACTTGTGATCTCTCTCTCTCTGTCAAATAAATAAAATCTTTTAAAAAAATTCAGAAATATATTTATACCAACTGATGGTTTTGTCAAATGTAGGAAGTAGGGCCGGAAGAACAAAAGGCTGCGCTGGAGAAAATGCCATTTGTAATTAATATTCCATTGTAGGTGCACTTAAAAATAGCTCCAGGGGTGTCTGAGTGGCACAGTCGGTTAAGCACCCGACTCTTGGTTTCAGCTCAGGTTGTCATTTCGTGGGACATGAGATCGAGCCCCACATCGGGCTCTGTGTTCAGCCCGGAGTCTGCTTGAGTTTCTCTTTCCCTCTCCCTCTGCTTCTCCCTCTTGCTCTCTCTCTCTCTAGAATAAATAAATCAATCTTAAAAAAAATATATATATATATATATATATCTCCAGAGAATGAATACCTACCTAGGACCACAAGGGAAGAGTTGGTGTCACCGTAGTTTGGGAAAAAAGTGTTGTTCATGTATATGGTAAGAAATACGTTCATCAACTTTTACACAGAACTGGTTTCTCTCCCAGGATTTTTGTAATCAGATACCCTCCCTCCCCCGACCCAGGAATTAACTACGTTTTTGTGAAGGAGTATTATTCTGTTTTATGCTCCTTTGCACTGTTTTCATGTTTAAAGCCTGAGGTTTTGGTTTTGCCTGTTCTGTACTTAGAGTGGTCAGATGTGTATGGGTTACATTGTGGAAAGCTCGCAACAGATTCCTTTATATACATTCCTTTTGGGACGCCTGGGTGGCCCAGTTGGTTAAGTGGCTGCCTTCGGCTCAGGTCATGATCCCAGCGTCCTGGGATCGAGTCCCACATCGGGCTCCTTGCTCAGCGGGGAGCTTGCTTCTCCCTCTGCCTCTGCCTACCACTCTGTCTGCCTGTGCTCATGCTCTCTCTCTCTCTCTCTCTCTAATAAATAAATAAAATCTTTATATACATTCCTTTTTTCCTATAAGACAGGAAGTCTAAGAAGGAGATGTCTAGGAGCCTACAATGAAGAATTCTACTTTTTTAAAAAATGTTTTTATTTGAGAGAGAAAAGCACAATCGGGGGAAGCGGAAGAGAGAGAGGGAGAAGCAGGCAACCCACTGAGCAGGGAGCCCGATGCGGGACTCGATCCTAGCACCCTGGGATTGTGACCTGAACTGGAGGCAGATGCTTAACCTGAGCCACCCAGGCGCCCCAAGAATTCTACTTTTTATGGGCAGTTTTACTTGCTAAATTTGAGAAGGGAACTAAAAAGAACGAGTTATCTTTGTTTTAATTATTACTATCATTACTGTATCACTCTTTGCACATGACTTTGCAGAAACTGTTATCTCTGTGAATGAATATGTTCTCCATACTGTTCTGCGTGTAAAACACTGCTTAGAGAATTGTTAACTCGATTTACTGCAGTGATCATTTCACAAAGCATATATATGTGTTGAATCATGATGCTGTGCACCTGCAACTAATGTTATATGTTGATTATAACATTAATGTTGATTTAACATTCAGTTAAAAAAACACTGTTGAAGAAACACATGTATAAAGATGCATTGAAGACTGCTACTTGGGCACAACATTGAGAATATTTATGCAGTAAGATGAGTTGATTTTTTTTTTTGCATTGTAGATACAATGATGTTCTTACTTTGTGTGTGTGTGTGAATTACTTTTTTAACAGGCGGCGGACTCAAGCCAGTTATAATTACATCACCAGCCAGTGTGCAGGTGGTAGACGGAGACTTTGTTACTTTGTCCTGCAATGCCACTGGAATGCCAGTCCCAGTCATGCGTTGGTACGACAGGCATGGGTTGATAACCAGCCATCCGTCTCAAGTGCTTAGATCCAAATCCCGGAAATCACACTTACGACCTGGGGGCTTTGACCTGGAGCCGATCTACTTCATCATGTCCCGGGCTGGCGCGAGCTCCCTGTACATTCAGGCTGTCACCCAGGAGCATGCTGGGAAATACACCTGCGAAGCTACCAACGAACATGGCAGCGCACGGTCAGAGGCGGTCCTCTCAGTGGGTGAGTGGCCTTTCTTATTCTTTTGCTCAGGTGATCAGCTTCCTCCAATGGTAGGCGATAAAGTGCTTTGAAGCATATTATTCTCATGAATCCAGCAATCGTTCCCCCCCACCACCACCACCACCTAGATAGTGAAATACAGAGCTGTAGTTTTGGTATTTGGTCTTCACATGAACCGATGAACCTTAATCTCCCTTTCTGATCTTTCTTGTTAGGGCTGTGGTTGTCCTGTGGACAGCTCTCCTTTGGGAGCAAGCCCTAGTTACGACCTCTTTGTGTGATTAATGCTTTTGGTTTTCTAAGCTACTGAAAATGGTCATTGCAGACATTTTTTTCAAGGGAGCCCTTGGTAAGTACAGTATCCAGAGTCTCGAGCACTGAGAAAGTGGAATCGTGGTCCTATCAAACAGTACCTCTTACTCAGAGTTACCTTTCTAATGGAATGTATAACATTTATTCTTTTTTAAAAAAATTAACATATAGTGTATTATTTGTTTCAGGGGTACAGGTCTGTGATTCATCAGTCTTACACAATTCACACCTCTCACCATAGCACATACCCACCCCAATGTCTACCACCCAAGCCACCTGATCCCTCCCATCCCCCTCCCCTCCAGCAACCCTCAGTCTGTTTCCTGAGATTAAGAGTCTCTTATGGTTTGTATCCCTCTCTAGTTTTGTCTTTCATTTTTTCCTCTCTTCCACTATGATCCTCTGTCCTGTTTCTCAAATTCCTCATTATCAGTGAGATCATATGATAACTGTCTTTCTCTGACTGACTTATTTTGCTTAGCATGATACCCTCTAGTTCCATCCACATCATTGCAAATGGCAAGATTTCGGGGTTTTGTTTTTGTTTTTGTTTTTATGGCTGCGTATATAACATTCATTCTTGATCTTCTGCTGATTTTTGGTGAGGATGTCTTAAAAGCTTTTTACAGTTTTTGAGGAACTAGTGTATAGAGTATCAATATTATTAAGGTTAATTCAAATCCAAACTCTCTGTCAGTGAGTACTTAGAACAGCCTTCTCCCGCAGGTGGTCAGTGGAGTGGAGACTGTCCCCTTACTTATCATGAAAGGGGCAGAGTACTGCCCTTAGTTTTGGAGCTGAGGGCCCTGCCGTGGGTTGCTGCTTTAGAGAGCTTCATGTGGCCTTCTTCTGCCTGGGCCCTCAGATCCCACATGTCAAAGAGTCCACGGGGTCAAGGGGTTGTGCTTACCCAGAGCCTGGCACCCACGTTCCTCCCTGCGTACAGCAGGACAGGGCTCTGGAATTCCTTGCTTTCGTTAGTTCACAGTCTGGTTCCACACAGCTCTCTCTCCATGGCCTGTCCTCCAGAGTGCAGGCCACACCACCAGTGGCCGGGACCGTTAAGCCAGGAGAGTGGACAGGGGGGCAGTCTTTTGCACAGGAGTGAAGGCGAAGTAGACAGAGGTTGGACGTGTACACATGTATTTCCATCCACATGCACATGGGGACCCTCTAGCTCCAGATGAAGCTGGAGGTGGGGAGAAATGGGGAAGGCCAGGGACTTCCATAATCCTCTTGTGCCCCTCTGTGCGTGCCAGAGGTGGAGGTGATGGGGGGGTTAAGCCTGTACGCTGGGTTAGTTAGCTTCCTGGCTGTGCCACTTAGGAGCTCTGAGACCTGGGACAAACCCTTGAACTCCTTTCTGCTTATTTTCTCATCTGCGTAACAGACATAGCAAAGGCCCTCTCCATCAAGCAGACGTGAGAATTGAAGGAATTTGTACATGCGAAGTGTTTAGAATGGTGTCTGGCAGTAGAAAACCTTCAAGTGCTAAGTATTAGGTTATAATTATTGCTATCTAATGAATAGTACATGGTAATTACCCCAGGTAGTGGTTAGGGATAGAAGGAATAGTTACTGATTTAGTCATCTTAAGAATCCTCAAAAAAGGTGGTTGAGTGTTGCATAAAGGTATACATATATAAAAATGTGTGTGTGTATGGATACAGGTGTGTGTGTACGTATCTGTTCTGCTAAGGAAAAATAAGAGTGGCTCTACTCAAAATTGTTAGCTGTAAGACAGGTGTAGCCCAGGCATTGCTTGTATGGAGTGATTGTGTCATGTAAATACAGGGTAGCAGGAGGCATAGACGGGATAGTCGTAGCTGATGGAACTAGATAGTTTGTCTAACTGCCTCGCTTTAAATATGAAAGATCTGAATCCCTTAGAAGATGCATAAGCTAACTTGTTTAGGCTAGAACTTTCTAGAGCTTTAAGATCCCCCCCCACCCCTGAGGATTTTAAGTCTTGATAAATGCCCTTATCATGTATAGTAGGTCACCCCATCACTGACATCCTACCTAAGTGGCCCTTGTATTTCCTCTTTTGCATGCTCTGTAGTTCTTAAGATCCAGGTGAGTTCATCAAAGCTCACAACAATATAGAACAACCCACTTCTCTTTACAGGAGTCTGAGCCTTATCAAATTCTAACATACTGAGAGCTTATTTACTTTGTTTTTTTTTTTTTTTTTTTTTTGTGAAGAGGGGAGTAAGCAAGGTCAAAGAGAGAGATGACTACCCCTTCTCCCCCTTTTCTCTTAGCAGAGACCTTGGGTTTTGAGGTGTTGGGTATACAAATATTTATAGAGTGGGTTGTAACTCTCAGAACTACAGTGGGAGTTGGCCTGGGACAGTCCGGGGAGGGTGGCTGGCGTGAGTGGTCACAGTGGGAAGGGCTTTGACAGATTTGGTTATATTCCTTGTTTAATTAGTTTCGGTTCAGAGTCATTAAATTCACTGCCATTAAAAGCAGTGTTTTTATCAGTCTCTTTTCCAATTCAAAAAGTGTCAGTCTCTTTTCCAATTCAAAAAGTGTCCTACCTTTAAAAAAGATGTCTCATCTGACCATTTCACAGTTTTTTTTGTTTTTTTTTTTTTAAAGATTTATTTTTTTATTTGACAGACAGAGAGCACAAGTAGGCAGAGAAGCAGGCAGAGAGAGAGGGGAAAGCAGGCTCCCCGCTGAGCAGAAAGCCCGATGTGGGGCTCGATCCCAGGACCCTGGGATCATGACCTGAGCCGAAGGCAGAGGCTTTAATCCACTGAGCCACCCAGGTGCCCCGTTTTCTTTTTTTTTTAAGATTTTACTTATTTATTTGAGAGAGTGTGTGAGAGAGAGAGATTGCGAGCAGTGGAGAGGGGGTAGAGGAGAAGCAGATTTCCTGCTGAGCAGGGAACCCAACACGGGACTCGATCCCAGGACCCTGGGATCACGACCTGAGCCGCAGGCAGATGCTTAACGGACTGCGCCACCCGGGTGCCCTCACAGAGTTGTTTTGAAGATAAGTTGAAGTAACATATGTGAAAAAACTTTTGAAAGTAGCATTGAGCCCTTATAAATTGTGTCTAGTAGTTCATGAGTATTCAAGTTATATTATTGGAAATAGTAGAGGGGAAGGAATTGAATCTCCTTCTTAATAAAAGTTACATAAAGTCTCACTGCATCCTAAAGAGCAGAAGTGGAATTTTGACTTTCATACGGTTAGACCCCAGCTGGAGCACAAGTTTGTCTCCTGCCTCTGGATCAGTTGAGGCCTGTGGTCTTTAAACTCTTGTCCAGCCGAATACCATTTCCCAGTGGTAACCAGCCCAGGGGATCCATGAAACTGCTAATGATTAAAAGGTCATTCTGCTACAAGAGCATGGAGAGTCCTCAAAAAGTGGAAAATAGAGCTACCCTATGTCCCTGGTGGGACTAGTGGGTATTTGCCCCAAAGATAAAAGGTAGTGATCTGAAGGGGCACCTGTACTCCAATGTTTATAGCAGCAATGTCCACAGTAGCTGAACTATGGAAAGAACCAAGATGTTTATCAACAGATGAATGGATGAAGGAGATATGGTATATATATCTACAATGGAATACTATGCAGCCATCAAAACCCCCGAAATCTTGCCATTTGCTAAGATGTGGATAGAACTAGAGGGTATTATGCTAAGCGAAATAAGTCAATCAGAGAAAGACAATTACCATATGATCTCACGGATATGATGAATTTGAGAAAAAAGACAGCAGGTCATAGAGGGAGGGAGGGAAAAATGAAACAAGATGAAACCAGAGAGGGAGACAAACCATAAGAGACTCTGAGTCTCAGGAAACCAACTGAGGGCTGCTGGAGGGGAGGGGGAGTGGGAGGGATCAGGTGGCTAGGTGATGGACACTGGGGAGCGTACGTGCTATGGTGAGTGCTGTGAATTGTGTAAGACTGATGAATCACAGACTTGTACCTTTGAAACAAATAATATGTTATACGTTAATACAAAAAATTTAATAACAAAATAAAAAATAAAAATAAATTAAAAAAATAAAAGCCATTCTCTCCACCCTGAGCCCCAGCTGAGTTAGTGCCCATTGCTCGAGTCCCTCTGGCCACAGCAGCAGCACTAGCTCACCCCCTTCCCAGCCAGCCCGTGTTCTGACTCACTAGGTAAACACGGGCAGCTCCAGAAGCAATATTTTGAAGTTTGTCTCCATGAACTTAATTAGTTTTCTCCTGTATGATTTTCTCTCTGGCGTTTTATTTTCTTTAATGGAGGATGCATCTGGGACACCTTTTCTCTTTTAAACTGAGAACTGACCCTACACTGTTAGCTGTATTTTGGGGTTTGTTTTGTTTTGTTTTGTTTTTGGGGGGTTTTTTTGCTGCTTCTCTCCTGAACTGCCCTGACTGTCCTGAAAACACACCCACCTTTTTTTTTTTTTCCCTAAACCAGGAATCCGACCTCATTGTGCAAAAGAAACCCTTTCACATTGTTTCCCCTGCTCCCTTCCTCTGCACAAGTGGTCAAACATAGGAGATGTTTTTGTCGCCAGTACGAATAGCACTTTAGAGAAAGCAAGCTGTCAGTACTTGGGTTTCATGGTGCTGGCCGCATACTTGTTTTCCTACTGCTTTCTCGTTTTTGACAGCCGCCCTGCTGACAGTCTTCTGCCAGCTCTTGTCACCATCTCCCAGAACCTTCATTTCTTCATCTGTAAAGTAGGAGTGGTGCTATCTACCGAAGAATGTTGTTTGGGGAATTTAATGAGATTATATTCCTTAAGAGTTTAGCACAATGCTTGGCACGTAGTATGCGCTCAGTAAATTTTGGGGGGAGTGATAAATGCAACTTATTTATTTTTTCAGTGCAAATAAAAGTATTTTTCCCTTCTCTGGATGTTGTAGATGCTTTTAGTCGTATTAAGACTGTTGGCTTGTTTTATTTTTCTTTAGATTGGCAGTTTTTTGTTTGTTTGTTTCTTTATTTTATTTACTGGAGTGGCAGTTTCTTAAGCCGACCTTTGATTCTATCCAGAAAGAGGGCTTGCTTTGGAAATAAGTAAACTCTTCTTTGATCTTTGCTAGTCTTGTTTCATTTCTCCTCTCTTGTTGAATATAAACTCTTTTGCTTGTGTAGAGTAAGTATTTTAGCTCTCCAGTAGCCCCTTTATTTATTTATGTTTTAAGATGGATTTATTTATTTGAGAGAGACGGAGAGAGAGGGAGCCAGCGAGCGTGCGTAGGGGGAGGGGCAGAGGGAGAGGAGCTGACTTCCCACTGAGTGTGGAGCCTAAAGCAGAGCTCCATCTCATGACCCTGAGATGGCGACTTGAGCCGAAACCAAGAGTTGGACACTTAATCAACGGAGCCACCCAGATGCCCCCTCCAGCAGCCCCTCTGTTATCTCTTACGTTTCTGTGGGTTGACCAGATATAGCGAGGCAATTCTGCTGGTCTTGCCTTGGATCCCTTATGCTGTTGCAGTCAGATGGCACCTGGGGCTGGAACAGCCAAAGTGGCTTCACTCCCACAGGTGGCGCTTTTGTGAAGGCTGGAATCCCCAGCTGCCTCCCCTTCCTTCCCTCCATTCCCCCCGCGCCCCGTAGTCTCTCTGCGGGGCTAGCTTGGCTGTCTGTACGTGGCAACACAAGAGTAGAAGTGCCAGGCCTTCTTAAGACTCAAGGCTGGAAGAGCACAGTCTTACTTCTGCCTTCATTGGTCAAAGCCCATCCTAGGCTCAGCCCCCATTCAGCAGGGAGGGGACCACCGGAGGGTGTGAATGCTGAGGGCTGTCTTTGGAGACCCGCTGCCCAGTAGGTCATAGCCTCACTCTTGACTGCCCAATAGGTCATAGCTTCACTCTTGACTCTTTCCTTACTATTTAGTTCACCTTGTCCCCAAGGGAGTGCATTGCTTCATTACCAACTGGAGTTAATGCTCTGTATTCTCCAACTTAAAATCTTCCGAGGTTAACCTAGCAAATTGTTGTAAAAGGGAATACTAGCATAGAGCAAGAAAGAAAAACGTCCTTCAGATCACTCAACTGCGGCATCGTGAAATTGATTTTGCAATAAGAGGTTGCTCCCGGAGGTTAGCTGTTTCCATGAATTACAAATTGAGATGCTCCTTCTTTTTAGTTCTTGGGCTCAGATTGTCATTATCCGTGTGGCCAATTAGATGGCTGTGTAGAAGGCCCTGAAATAATGAATTTCCCGGGGTGCCTGGGTGGCTCAGTGGGTTAAAGCCTCTGCCTTCAGCTCAGGTCATGATTCCAATATCCTGGGCTCGAGCCCCACATTGGGCTCTCTGCTCAGCAGGGAGCCTGCTTCCCCCTCTCTCTCTATGCCTGCTGCTCTGCCTGCTTGTGATCTCTCTCTCCGTCAAATACATAAATAAAATCTTTAAAAAAAAAATGAATTTTCTTAAGCTCTCTCTTCTCTCTTCCTCCCATCCTCTGCAGTTCCTTTTGAAACAAATACAAAAGCAGGACCGGTCACAGCTTCGGGTCCCTTTCAGAATGATAAAAGAGATGGTTCAGAAGCTGGATCGTTGAGCTCCTTTCCAGTGAAGGAGCACCCCAGGGCAGTGGACTCAGCACCAGAGAAAAATGCTAGTGGAGCCGCCGTCCCGGACGCCCCCATCATTCTGAGCCCTCCGCAGACCTACACAGCTGATACGTACCACCTGGTCTGGAGGGCCGGGAAGGATGGCGGACTGCCCATCAATGCCTATTTTGTGAAGTATCGAAAGGTAATCTCTTCTCATTTGCCAGCTTTCTCTTCACATGCCTTAACGTTGTGTGTGGAACATGTGCTTATTATCTTTGACTTTTATGGAGCTGCAGGAAACAGAACAGGGGTGTTCTAGGACCGAGTCTGGGAGACCTGTCCCAGCGGTCATGCTGGATTTACCAGTCTAACAAAAGCAATAAGAATGAAGGATGCATAATTTCCCCCAAAATAGGAATTCTAAGAACCCAGTGACTTCTTGATGTTTTTTTATCAAGCATTTTAACCCCTTGGGTGCAAAGCTCTAGAAACCGCTCTTTAAAGATAGCAAAGAGATAGTAAAATACAGAGATATTTTCTGAGATAGTAAAATACAGTTTATTTAGCAAATAAAGCAGTTTCTTATTAGAAACCCTGAACAAAGTCCTCTGGCATAATTTCTGATGGTTATTTTTACTTCACATTATCCTTCTTCATTGTATTGGAATGTGATGTTGTTTGGTGATTTATGTGGGTGAACCTTGATCCTCTCAGTTGATTTTTCAGTGTTTATCCTTCCAGAGGCTTCTATTAAAGCAAAATGAGAAAATCTCCTCTATTTTTTTTTTTAAAAGATTTTATTTATTTATTTATTTGTCAGAGAGAGAGAGAGAGAGGGAGAACACAAGCAGGGGGAGCAGCAGGCAGAGGCAGAGAGAGAAGCAGGCTCCCTGCTGAGCAAGGAGCCCGATGCGGGACTCGATCCCAGGACCCTGGGATCATGACCTGAGCCGAAGGCAGCAGCTTAATCAACTGAGCCACCCAGGCGTCCCAAGAAAATCTCCTCTGTTTAATGAGACTAGTAAATGAACCAAAGATGCCCTCCTAGTTAAAATACTTTTATTTGTCCAAGCCATTTTGGTACCCATTTAATATCTGGAAAAATGAACATGGTGATATTTGAAAATTTATTCACTGTTTCTAACCTGAGAATTCCAGGTAAAGAAACTTTTATTGAGATTCTTGCCCATGCAAAAATTTCCCTCCAGTGTCATTTCCTGGTTCCATTAACTAAGACACAGCAGATTAGATCTTTTTAAAATTTATTTCCTCCAATACATGTGGAACGTGTCGAGATAGGAAAAATGCTGGACCTGGATAATGGATAATTGCAGAATTCATATGTGCATACATATTCTAATTTATTATATATTATCATTAATACAGATTATTATATACTTATTTTATGCTCCTGTTAGCGCAATAAGAAAGGATTATTGTTTTCTTCATGAGTAAAGGAAACAAATTCTGGGAGATCGGATAACTTGCTTGAGGCTATAAGTTAGTGGTAAGTAGCAGAATCAAGAGTCTTTTTATTCCTAAGAATTCCTAAGTTGTCGCTACGTGTCTCCTTCTATTTATTAGCATGAAGAAGTATTATGTCTCTTTTGCTTGCAAGGGGGATATTCCATACCAAAATCCATGTGAAACTGAAGATTTTCTCCAATTTGAATGGAAGGTTTTTCCTCCCCGAATCTCCTTCTTTTTAACGGCTTATTTTCTCTTGAGTAGCTAGATGATGGTGTTGGCCTGGTGGGAAGCTGGCACACGGTTCGAGTCCCAGGAAGTGAAAATGAGCTCCATCTAACAGAACTGGAGCCCTCTAGTCTCTATGAAGTTTTGATGGTCGCAAGAAGCGCAGCGGGTGAAGGCCAGCCCGCCATGCTCACCTTCCGCACGAGCAAAGGTGAGTATCACCTTCCTTAGGAGGAATGAGCTGGCCGGCCGGATGTCACTTTATTAGTTAAGTGTCCTTTTGGGTCATAGAGATTCTTTTTTTTTTTTTTTTTTTTTTTTAAGATTTATTTATTTATTTATTTGACAGAGAGAGAGAGAGAGAGAGAGATCACAAGTAGGCAGAAAGACAGGCAGACAATGAGGGGGAAGCAGGCTCCCTGCTGAGCAAGGAGCCCGATATGGGACTCGATCCCAGGACCCTGAGATCATGACCTGAGCCGAAGGCAGAGGCTTAACCCACTGAGCCACCCCGGCGCCCCGAGATTCTTATATATAAATTCCCTAAATAATTTGATGATCGTACCTTTTGGGGCCATGCATGTTGTATTATGCCGTCCCATCCAGTGTTCTACAAATATTTCTCAGGGTTTATGATAGGTAAGGCATTAGGGTAGGTGATGTAGGGAAAACAAAGATGCTCAAGACAAGATCCATCCTAACGGGGCTTCTCCTTTGCTAAGGAGGGTAAGACATAAATAAATAGCAACTACAGGGCAGGATTTCAGTTGTGCTAATGTTTACTGAATGCCTTCTGTGTGCCGGGCCATAAACAGAATCGACAAAACTCCTTGCCCTCATGGAGCTCGCTTTCTAGCTGGGAGAGACTTACACCTAAGTTTTAAGTACATTAGGAAGTGGTGAATGCCATAAGAGACGTAAGTTAGGGGATGGATATAGGAAGTGGGTGTGGTAGCAGTTGTCACAATTTAAGCGAGGTGGCCAGGGAAGTCCTCAGTGGGCAGTCAGCAGGGGAGCAGAAGGTCCAGGGTGCAGTGGGAAGGTCACATGGTTATCTGGGGAGAGAACATCCCAGCTGAGAGAGTAGCAAGTGCAGAGACCCCAGGGCGGGGTGCGCTTGAGGTACCCTAGAAACACTGAGGGGGCCCCTGTGACAGAGGCAAAATGAGGAGGCTCTAGGGGAGAAAGCTCAGAGAGATGACAGAGGGGCCAAGCCACATGGTGCTTTGTCGCCCCTGCAAGGACATTGACTTTGACTCTGAGTGAGCTAGAAGCACTGGAAGGTTTGAGCTGAGTTGTGACACTGTCTGCTATATGTTTCAACAGGGGACTCTGGCTGTAGGGTAAGGATAGACTGGAGGAGGGCACAGGTGTCAGCAAAGAGGCCAAAATATGACAAGTAAAGGACTTAGAAGATGCTGGAGGAGTGCAAAGAAAGGATGTTCTTTCTGTGGGTTAGCTTGTTGAGGGTAAGCTTGATTGACAAGACACCGTTATGGCTCGGTCATCAATGGACAAAAAGACCAGTGAGTGGAGTGGGGAACGGGGCGGAAGAATATTTTCGTCTGAAGTAGAAAATAAAAAGGAGGTATGATCGAGAAGAAATTTATTTATTGGCTCTTGGAAAAGACCCTTTCATACTAATGACCGAGTCTAGCTAGAAAAAGAATGAGTATTTCTTACTTGAATTCTATTTTGAGTTAATTTTCATAATCAGCCCACAGTTGTTTATAGAATCTGACCTATTATAAATACTGAATAATAAGCAGATATTTCGGTTTTATAATAATCACCCATTTTCACTTTTTGCCTCTTGGAATTTTCAAACTCAACATAATAATTTTCCCATAAAGAGACAGAAGCTCTTTAAGCATGAATTTTATGCTTTGGAATTAAGAAATAGGTAGAAGAAAAACGCATGAATAGTTTGAAAGCCTTTACTCTACTTATTTGGCTTTTTTCACTTTGTGGTGTTTATTCTGTGTATAAATGAAAATCTGCCCGATGAAGAAAGACAGCTTTTAGTTTTCCCTTACAAAGGCTATTAGAAAAAGACAACATAATTTTCAAGTTCGATTCCTCAGATTAGCTAAGTATTTACAATGTAGGTCTGAAATTTAGACCCTGTAATAGAGAAGCTCTAATATCTGTATACCAGTTGAGTTTTTTATAATATCTTTTCTTACTTTACATATACACAGAAGTTTATGTTGCAGTAGATGAGTATATGTCTTCTAACTTTTCTAGAGAAAACAACCTCATCGAAAAACACGCAGGCGTCCTTACCCCCCATGGGCGTCCCTCGGCGCCCCGTTGTTTCAGAGGCTGCGGACAACTTCGGAGTGGTCCTTACAGATTCCTCTAGGCATAGTGGAGGTAAAGTGGAGAATCTTCATTTTATTGATTTTGTTTGTTTACCAGTGGACCTGACATGTTTCAAATTATTTGGGGGTTGGAGTGGGAGAGAGTGTTTGTTTGTCATTTGGATTTTAACCTCTTCCAGGTCCTACTTCATCCATTTTTTTTAATGCCCTATACTCAGATCTTGGTAACTCACTGTCATGATTGGTATTTAAGGTAATACACTCAGATTCAAAATGTTCTGGTACTAAGGTTATATAACTCATAAAAAGGATTTTTCTGCTTTCTCTTTGGCAAAGAAACCAAATTTATACTTTGAAAGTCTGATCTCTCTCTCTCTCTCTCTTTTTTTTTTTTTTTGGTGACTTATCAAAATGTATGGTGGTACCTATAGAAAGATTTAGGTTTTTTTTAAGCAAACAATTACATTCCATACTGTTTTATTGCTGTATTTTGTCAATGTCACACTCCGTTTTATTGCTCTATCTTGCCAATTGTATGGTTTTATTTTTAATTTTTTAAAGATTTATTTATTTATTGGGGGGAGGGGCAGGGCAGGAGAGAGAGGGACAAGCAGGCTCTCTGCTGAGCGCAGAGCCCAATGCAGGGCTTGCTTTCACGACCCTGAGATCATGACCTGAGTTGAAACCAAGACTTGGATGCTAGACCAATTGAGTCACCCAGGTGTGCCCCCCGCCCCCTCCAATGAGTGGTTCTTAGATGTCATAGTAATACAGTTTTCAAAAGACATCTTTTTAGTATTTAAATTTCACACTTATCAATTCACAATTACAACATAACGTATTTTCTGTGACTGTGTTAATAGGCGTTAGCAGGACATCTAGGAAGGGCTTCAAGTTCCGTTGCTGAGCTCTGAGAATGTTCAGGCTTCTCTTCCCTATTTTTATAGTCTGTCATGAATTGGTCTCAGACAAAAGCAAGTCATGACATTTGAACACTTTCTGGAGCCTCTCTGCTTCTTCAGTATCATGAGCCTCTCCTGCTTGAGTCCTTTCACCTCTGAGGAGCTATTCAGCGACCTGAAGCAGATTGCTGACTCAGCCGTCAGCTTTATCTGAGTAAAGCTGCCCTCTGAGAAACAAAGACCGTATGATTTGTGTAACACGCTCAGGTAGATACGGACCAAATGCTGTTGCAGTGAAAGTAAAGTCAGTCTTGCCTTCAGGGGGTTTACAGCATAGAGGGTGACATCGACAAGAAGTCATTAACCATATAGGGGGTAATATAGACAAGTGAACCCATAATAATGACTTTGATTCATTATGCCTGAGAGTCTACGCTCAGTGTTGATGCGATCACAAGAGTATGTGAAGGAGGCAGGTGGTGGTAAGAGAGGCTCCCTCCGCTAAGCCTCGAAGACAAGACCATTATGAAGACAAGGATGGATGAAGGAACAGGAAAAGAAGTTCTAGGGAAAGAGATGAACGATGGACATGTTGTATTCCATTTAGAGATGTGGAGGTTAGAGAACTGATTTGGTTTGACTGGTTGCCATGGGGAGTGACGCCACCGTGGGGAAGGCAGGCGGGTCCCTTGTAGAACGTACTTAGAATGTCAGTCTTTCCCTGAAAGCTGTGAAGAACTCTAAAGGACTTTAAGAAGCAGGACAGGGGGAACAGCCAAAGATGAAGCTAGAGAAATAATGGGTGGAGTGACAGAGGGTCACTGTGTCCGGAAGGACACAGGTGACAGACAAAGGGAATTGAATCCATATTGAATGAAAGGGAGAAATGAGGTGACCCTGGGCTGGGGTGGCCAAGAACCATTTACCAAGGTGGGTAATCAAGATTTTTAGGTGCAGTTTATGGATTGAGTTCCGGAAGTCCGAGTTTGGAGTTATCCGGGCAGAGATAGCCGTAAGAAATGATTTCTTGAATCTTCCGAACAACCCTATGAGGAAGATAGCCAGTCGGTTTTACAATTGAGGAAACTGGGGCTCTTGGAGGTCATGCCTTTTTTACTGTGGCTGCTCTTCACATTCCAATTTTTTTTTTTTTAAGATTTTATTTATTTATTTCACAGAGATCACAAGTAGGCAGAGAGGCAGGCAGAGAGAGAGGGGGAGCAGGCACCCTGCTGAGCAGAGAGCCCAATGTGGGGCTCGATCCCAGGACCCTGAGATCATGACCTGAGCTGAAGGCAGACGCTTTAACCTGCTGAGCCACCCAGGTGCCCCCAAACTCCCAACTTGTCTCTGTTTGTCACGCACTTTTTCTTTTAGATCTTGATGATTCTCCTATGTAGAGATTCTTTTCCCTAATAATCTTCTGTTCGATCTGTGCTGTTTGTTCTCGGATGAGTTTTAACCTTCTGGGAATCAGTTGACGGAAGTTGTTGGTTATCTAGGACCAAAAAAGAGATTCACTAACAGTTCTATTCATTCTGTTTCCATTGCTTTCTAACTTGAAAGGAATACAGTAAGTATCACTCAAAAGTTGCCTGCTTTGAATATTTTCCTCTTTTTATCCAGTATGCAGTTTGTTTTTTAAATGCTGCCATTTTCTCCATACAGGTACCGTGGGCAACGTCGTTGTGTTCTTTCTTATGTATTTGTGTTGGAGCTAGAGAGATGTTGAGACAGAGTGGTCTTGCTTAAGGAATGTGGCACAGGCTAGACAGCAGGGCACCCTTAGTGACTTATCTAATAATCTGTAGATCATCTGCTGAATGTGTTTATAGCTTGGGTGGATTAAGAAAAACATTTAAATAAAATCACAACTAATTTTAAACATTTACTGTAACTTATAAGCACAATCAGACATGAGGCACCGAGTAATAATAACTTATACACTGTTTAGCTCTGAATCCAAAGTAGCATGGTCACTATTCTCATTACCATTTACTTTCAGTTTTTTAGAGCTAATTCTCAAGTTTATATATCTTGCTTTTCCTTCCTTTTATTTCCTGTTTTTGGCCATTTCGTTGCCTGTTAGCTTTTAACAGGGGGCGGGAAGATAGTTATGATGATGTTACTAACTCTGCTAATAAGTTTGGTGATGAACCTTTAATAAAATGTTGCTTAGGAATTTATCCCTTTCAGTTTATTTGAGTTATTCTTGTCTCTGACACCGTGGGTTATTGGAATGGATGTTTCCGTGTTTAGTTCCAGAGGCACCTGACCGGCCTACCATCTCCACGGCATCGGAGACCTCTGTCTACGTCACTTGGATTCCTCGGGCCAACGGGGGTTCTCCAATCACTGCCTTCAAGGTCGAATACAAACGGATGAGGACCAGTGATTGGCTGGTGGCCGCTGAAGATATCCCTCCTTCCAAACTTTCTGTGGAAGTTCGTAGCTTAGAGCCAGGTACTAATACTCAAACATTTCCTTTTTTGTCATCTGTGTTGACTTCATTATTATTTTTTTTAACATTTTATTTATTTATTTGAGAAAGAGAGCACGAGAGCCAAAGAGTTTGAGAGAATGAGTGGGGGGAGGGGCTGAGGGAGAAGCAGACTCCCCGAGGAGCAGGGAGCCTGGCGTGGGACTCGATCCCGGGACTCCGGGATCCCCACCTGAGGTGAAGGCAGATGCTCAACTAACTGAGCCACCTACGCGCCCTGTGCTGACTTTAGATGCCTATTTGTAATGATTTTGTATTCCTCTAGTTGTTAAAGTAATGGGAACCTATTCTGTGAAAATTTGAAAGGAAAGAAACTAGAGAGAAGAGAAGAAGTCACCCGAAACCTGCTGATCCAGAGATAAGCAATGTTTACACTTTGGTATATGTTTTGTACCCTTTTTTGTTTTTTAATCATACCATAAATCATGCCAGGATCATGCCATAAATACTGTTTTGTGACCCCATTTTCCCTATATCACAGGCATTTTCCAGTATCATTAGAAATTCTTCAAAAACTCAGTTTTTTAATAATTACCTAATGTATAATTTACTTATAATTTTTTTCTGGGTTTTGGATATCTTTAACTGTCAGTAACTTAGAAAGAGCGTTGCGATGTCATCTTTGTGTATGTGTGTGTAGGTGTTTTGCTATGATTACATGTTTTAAGAGGAAAATTGCTTGTTATTTGACTAAAATTGTTTGCTCTAATGATGAACCTCAGCCTAGTTATACTTAGCGCTTAGGCTATGGAAATGAGAGAACACCTAAGTCTTCTTTGCTCTGTAAGTCTCATTTCAGCAGAAGGAGCCCCCCTCCCCCACCATCACCCCACTATCTTGAGGCTGCGTGCGGGTAGTTAAACCGCGTGAGAGAAAAGCCATCATCACAGATGCATTTGCATGGCTTGTATCTGTTAGGTTTCATGACTATTTTGTTTATGGACTTTTAGATGGACTTAGCAGCAAATGCCTGTGTTTGTCTGAACAGGTAACATGAGCCTAGGGGCCTGTAGGTATCGTTGGGAGAAGGTGACAAGTTTTAAATGAGGGTGAGACTCAATAGCACTTTTTAGGCGGAAAACACCGTCTTCGGAAGCCCAGTGGTTATGTCTGTGCTGTCAGGAAACACGCTGGAGGAGTCTCGTTTATTCTTTAGATGCAGAGCTTCAGAAGCTCACAGTCCTTAGAGTTTTTCTTTTTTTAAGTACTTAATATGTAATGCAAATTAATGCCTTCTGTTGTAGTTTAAATCTGCTCCTGATTCTTTTTTTTTTTTTTTTTAATCTGCTGCTTCTTATCCTATTCTTGTTGCAATCAGAGTGACATCTGCTGTCACCCACACAGTGCCCCTTCCGAAGCGTATTTGCCCTGTTAAACTTCGCTTCGGTGGTTTCTTTCAAAGGGAAAAGACCCTAGTTTTGAGCACAGATACTTCAACTAATACTGTATTTGATGGTTATGACTTTAGAACATGACGGTAAAGAGAGTAAACGTGCTCTTTCCCGTTCTCTGCACGCCCCTTCTGTGACAGACGTCATTCCTCTTCCGTGGCATTGTCTCCTGGTCACTCCTCCTAAGCTCTTGGAATCTGGCTCATCATAAACACACGCTACTGGCCGACAGAAGCTGGCAGGCGGGTTGGAATCAGTTTACCGTATAGGCTTCAGAGGACGTGTTTGTTAACACGGAGACTTGAGCGCAGTTGTCTTGTTCTGACCGTCATACCTTCAGCTGTCGTATGGCCATTTATTAAAAACTGGGTTTTGTTTTTTTTTTTCCCTCCCTCAAAAGGTTCAACATACAAGTTTAGGGTCATTGCCATCAACCATTATGGCGAGAGTTTCCGGAGTTCGGCGTCTCGTCCTTATCAGGTGGCTGGGTTCCCCAATCGTTTCTCTAACCGTCCGATCACGGGACCTCACATCGCATATACCGAAGCTGTCAGCGATACCCAGATCATGCTGAAGTGGACGGTGAGTGGGACATCTTCTCTATCGAGACACGTTCTTGTTTGGCCATGTTGACGATCGACTTAATGGTCTCATGACCTGGTATTGTGATTAGTAAAATGTTTTTAACTTTTAAGTATTTGGCCATGTTAACGATCGATTTACTTTTCTGGTGACACGATATTATGAATAGCAAATGTTTTTAACTTTTAAGTCGGGGAAAATTGAAGGGCACAGATACTTGTCTGAAAGCACATGTGGGTAAGTGGGGCAGGGCTAAAAATAAACTTGTCTCTTCAGCTCTCATCCAAGTGTTAACTTAATTATCCTTTCAGGATCTGTTTCTTTTGAACCAAATGTCCCTTTCTGCTTCTGAACCTTGTGAAGTATACTACTTTATTTTTGCTCAGCCCAACAGAGAAACTAAATGTGCTTAATACCTTTGACTGCCTTTGAATTAACTTCAAAATGGCCGCCAAGGATGTTTGCAAAATGAAGCTAGAAAAAGATCGCCACACAGATAAAGGAATCTTCATGGCTCTGAAGGTTACACTTATTTTTGTCCTTACAAGTTTTTGCTTCTCTTCTTTTAGTATATTCCATCAAGTAACAATAATACTCCCATTCAAGGATTTTATATCTACTACCGGCCGACGGATAGTGATAATGACAGTGATTACAAGAGGGATGTGGTAGAAGGTAAGTCCCTCGACAAGCTGGAGTCCCAGTAAGGAGCTTGGATGGAGGGGGTTTCTAAATATTACGAGAACCATCACCCCAGCTTAAGGTAGAGAAAGCATGAACTGTTATGTCCACTATTACTTTGACTTCTTCCCAAAGAAAGACCGTCTTTCCAATTTAATATATGCAGTAGCTTGCATTTTGGTCATAGAAACAATTACCGAAGTATGGGGGAGATACCATTTGTCAGCAGTTCATCTGAAAAAGAATTCTGTTTTCTGTTTTATTTAAGTGAATGGTAACCTGGGTATAAAAGTCACTTGCAACTGCTACTGTATTTTAAAAAATATGTCTCAGTCCCAGTTCCACTGAAGTCTGTACTAGAACAAGTGCATCTTGAGCATGTAATCCACTTTTAGAGATGCTGAGAAATTGGAATACACGTAGAGTAAAAACCAGCCGAGACAGTGAAGGGTGCCGAAACTGCCTTTCCCCTGCACCTAAAATCTGATCCAGAACTTTGCATGTGGTCTGAAGGCTGCAGATGGTCTGCTGGCCACTGTCTACACCGGCCGCCAGTCTCGTGCACCCTTTCCTCACCCTCCCGCCCCCCCACCGTGTTTCTTCTGTGACACACTGGCCTTCTGAGTTTCCTTGTGTGCACCAAGACCTGTCTTGCCTCCGGACAGTGACACGTGGCAATTCCTGCTACTTCCTGGACTCCTCTTCCAGTGTCTTATTTAGGTCACTGCACTTTTCTGTTTTGTGGTTCAATGTCATTTCCTCAGATAACACCCGCCTCTGTATGTGAGATACCTTGGGTGTTATTTCTAACTGTGGCCTTTATGGTTCTGTCGTAGATGTCATCATGGTTGCTGTGTAAGGAGCGGGTGTGTCTGTGTGTGTGTGTGGATATATGAAGTTATTTACTTAGTTTGTCTCCCTCACTAAATCTTAGCCTCTCTGTAGGCAAGGAGCCTTTGCTTCCCAGGTTATATTCCCAGCCCCTACAATGGTGCGGTGTTCGGGATTTATCGAATGAAGGAACAATTGGAGTCCAGAAAGAACAAGGGAATGTCTGGGGATGATGAGGCTGGAAATGGGGTGATAAACAAGTAACATGACAGCTGTCTTCACATCCTGACTGACTGTTAAGCGGAGGAGAAGCTCTGCCAGTTGGTGGAAGTGCAGCCAACAGGAAGTAGCATAAGGAAGACCCCTCTGTGCAGGATTTTTAACAAAATAAGAAACTCCCTAATGTTGGAGCTGTTCAGTAGAAGCTGGATGCTTATTTCTCAATGGTGTCTTGGGTTCTTGTTTTGAGAAGAAGTCTTCTTCAGAGGGTTTTTTTGCACTTCAAGATTCCGACTCTGAATTGCTAACATCCCAAATGGGTCATGTGAGAAAACAGCCCTAGGCCAAGGTTATTTCCATGTGACTTCTTGACATCGAATACTGCCTATCGTTTTTGGTAGCAGTAGCCTTATAATAAGTCAGTTTAAATATGCTCTATCAGGCTTCTTTAAATATTGTGGTATTCCTTTTAATGTTTATCCGGTGGAGTGTCTTTTGTAAAGTAGTAAAAGGTTATCATCTGAGTTTTAATACCTGGTACATAGTAGGTGCTCAGTAAATATTTTTTGAATCAAAGAGTGATTATTTCTCTTCATCTGGAAAAGTAGGAAGCAAATCAGTTTCTAAAATCTGGTTTAAACATGAAGAATTGAGGAAATGAGGGAAGAGACTTGTCAGTGGCCAAACTATTCTGTGAAGTTAGGATAGTTGCTGTCCTGAGGGAGAAGTGACCAGAAGAAGCATGTGGGGTAGGGTGCCAGTACCGTTTCCTTTCTTGACCTAGGTATTGGTAGCACGGGTACGTTCAGTTCATGAACTTCAACAAACTATTCAGTTAGGGGCACTTTTCCATACACTCTTCACTTTCTAGAAAGGCTACCCAAGAAGAAGAAATGGTTAAGAGTTGTTAGTCACTATTTGAGATTTGAGTCCTAGTGAGGTTTTCATTTTAGTTTAGCTGGGTTAGGAATGTAGGGCTGTCAGACTTTCATTTTTAAACTCTTTCGGCAGAGGTTAAACATTTGCTATAAAATAGTTCTAAACAAGGTAAATGTAAGTAAAGGGAAAACTCTCTCTGTCTCTCTCTCTCTCTTTCTCTTTCTCCATGTCTCTCTTTTCCCTACCTCTCCTGGTTCCACTCTCTAGAAATATCCACCAGTCACCAGTTTTTAAAGGATACTCTCTAGTTAAATCTTTGAACTTTTGCGAGCTTGTGGGGTGTGAACATAGTGTGTGGAACTGGGAAATTACTTTATGGGAGCTTCTATATCCACTAGTAGTGTCTGCAAATGTGAGTTTTGCCTTCTGGTTCACAGAAAACTTGTTTATAAACTTAGTAGACGAAACAGTTAGATGTTTAAGTGGGCTTCACTGTGCTGTGTAATTTGCTTATTCCCTATTTTCAAGTTTATGCATTTGAAATTCTTTTTGTGGTAGTTTTAAACTATTGGGCTGTTCTCCCAAACCAAGGAACAAAAGTATTTACCCCTTGCACGTAATGTTCTCTTTAAAGTAAAGTTTTAGATTACTTCTCTGTATTGACTCAGAATTGTTTAAGCTTTTGGGGAAAAAGTCTGAAATTCAATTACAGTGTTAAAGAATCCACTAAGAGCAATGATATTAAGTTATCCTATCTTCTGAATTAAGTTCCACATTGGGATAAACTGTAAATGTTTCTGGCAGACAGTGCCTTTGTGATGAATATTTGTGTCTTACAAAGTTGAGTTTCAAATAGATGAAAGCATCAGGCAGGCATCCTAATCTCTAAGCCTGTTGCTTTGGTTTCTCACCTTTTCTAAAACATCTTTTGAGAAAAAAATTACCCGTTTAAGCACACGTTATGCTGGTGGTTGACTTTCAACCTGATAATACACTTAGCTGTCTTATTCATCAATGATCAGTAAAGACTCTTTGTCTCTACTAGTGATTTCTGTCATTTAGCCATTCGAAGAATTACCCTAACAGTGGAATCCTAATCTAACAAAATTTGTGTTCTTTTAACAATTTTCTCTCATTTGTAACATATCAGAGGTGTAGTTTAATTCCGTTTTGCCTAGGGCTTTGAAGGGAAAACTTCAAATCTGGGGTGGAAATTATTCGGGAGAATGTTTATAGTTAGGTGAGGGTAGGGCTGGGCAAGAAAGGACCCAAGGACAGAGAAAAAAATAGAAGTCTTTGAAAAAGTTTGTGGAATTTCAGAGTAGGTCTATTCCAGTCTTTGAGTCAAGGTTTTGAGTCAAGTTTATTGTAGGATCCTCTTTACACTTACAAAGGGGGCATAGAATTCCTTACTTCTCAAGCCTTTCAGAGTCCCTTGGTCCCAGAGAACAAGCAGATTCTCTTCGTGTAAACTCTGGGTCTTTATGAAAGAGGGATTTTGTGATGGTGACCTGCAAAAGGGCTTGTGTTTCCGGTTTGGAGTATTTTTGTCTGTGTTGAATTAGAAAGGAACCTAGTGCTCTTGGTCCTATCAGCCAAGTAGATTTATACTTGGATGCTTGGTTTGGTTTTGTTTTTCCTCCCCCTTCAATTAAGTCTTGAATCAGTAGGTGGTATAGTTGAGTGTCTCAGGAACTGTGGAAACAGCTTGAAGAGGTATTTTCTAAGAGGGGTTAAAGGTGCCTGAAGAGTTCACTGAATCTGGCAGAAGTGTCCCTGTTTATTAATGTTCGTCACATGCCCATGGGAGTGAACATGGAGAGCGAGGCATTCAGGAGTACTCAGTTGAAGAGTGTTTCTAGATGAAACACTGGCCATGTGCTGTGGATAACAAAATCATTCTGTTGGTATTAAGTGGCTTCGTGACCCTGACGCAAAAGAAGAGAAATAGTGGGAACAGGAACCCATAGGTTCCCCTTGTAGATTTTGCTTTTTGATGATTCTCAACCATTTATTCAGGCACATGCTGAGCTGTCCGTTCGTGTCACGTTCAGTCCAGTGGGATGGAGAGTTTCTCTAAGACCTGTCTTGTAAATAAATGGTCACTTGTCCTGGATAAGGCACCATTTGTGGATCTCGTGTACAGTATTCTGTCTGGTGGACAGAGTAGATTGACTCGCTAGGCTAAAATGGGGCATCAGAGGACTTGAGTGTTTTTGTTTTTCCTTCACCTATGCATAAAGCCAACATGTATTTTATGAAAGACTCACCACTAACTATTTATAACAAAGCAGAGTATTAGTACCAACACACGGGTATGGCTTGAATTCAGTCTACCTCTTGTCCTTTGTTTCGTGGCCCATTAAAAAAAATGCTGTTTATCTGGGGAGTATTACTGAAATACATCTATTAAGATGGTTTTCATTGCACAGACTGACTCTATGGTGATACATGCTATTCCGGCCTTGTTTTGAGATCACCTTGCAGGTCGTACGATACGTAAAACTTCTTTTATATTTTTTCTTTCTAGGTTCAAAGCAGTGGCACATGATTGGCCATCTGCAACCAGAAACTTCCTACGATATTAAAATGCAGTGCTTCAACGAAGGGGGAGAAAGCGAGTTTAGTAACGTGATGATCTGCGAAACTAAAGGTAGGAAAGGAATGAGAGCTCGAGCTTTGTCCCCGAATGGTGCTGGAATTCCAAATTCTGCATTATTCCTTCTGACTCTTGATGTGTTTACCTAAGGAAGCGTCTGCTTTGGATCGTTCCCTAGGTGTAGGTATTAAGACCATCCCAACAGAAAATAGAATATATTGGCTAAAGCACTTCTCTCATTAGTTTACTTAAGCATCGATTGTATTCATGAATTTCAGTAAGTCACTTCCCTTCTTTTTTCTCTGCACAAAGAGAGTAGAAGCATTTGCTGGATAATTTCTGCAAATTGGAATTGCTGCGAGAATTAGAAAACTTCAAAACAAAAGTATAATTTTCAGGAAGAGCTCTTTGTATGCTTTAAGTGGCTTCTTCCATGATGGTTATGCATAACACTGTCTACTTCTTAAGCACGGTGGCTCAGTTCAGCGTCAGCAGTGTGCTAATGCTAAATTGAAATTCTTGACTCTGCCAATGCATGGATTGTGCAGTGTCTTCTGTTTTTAGGATGGCAGTGCTACACATGAATGATAGAAACAGCTACATGGCTATTTAAAAACTCATGTCCAGTCTCAGTTAATTGGACCAAAAAAGGGACTGTTTTAACTTGTGTCTGTTTTTAAGAACAAGAGGAAATTTCCCCAAATCCTCACCTATCCCCCACACCCTTCTAGTCTCGGTGGTCAGAACTCAGTCACACTGTGCTCCCCAGATCATTCCCTGGGAATGGAATGATTGACCAGGACCTACTCGAGTTGTGTGGGGTTTGAGTGGACAGCTGAATGGAAGTGGGCTCTGCTAGTGTGGGAGGAAAAGGCTGCTGAATGGCAACCTTTTGTGCCTGCGATAGGTGATTTTATGATGCTGATTTAAAAATGAAGAAAATGAGGCTTGGAAAAATGGAATTATAAAGACAAGACGTAGTTCCATCTTTTAATGCTAAGTCATGCGACTTTCTGCAGCAAAACCCACATATTAAATCTACCTTTAAGTCTATATATACACAGACCTCTAGATTTACTTTGGTTAGTATATATTTGAGGGGCTTTTTGTCCCAGTCACTGTGATATGTTAATGGACATTTCTTACTTGCCTGTAGAGTGTTGTAATACTTAGGGCAAAATTAAATAAAAATGAAATTTATCATCTCTGTCCACAAGACATTTAAGAATCTAGCCAGGCAAAACACAGACAACAGTGTAATAACTGTATTGTTTAAATAGTATTATGATATAGCTGTGTCTATAATTGTATGCCTCATTAAATGCTGGAGGAGGAGACTTTGCTGGAGAAGAAAAGGTTCTACCTACAGACTTTCAGGTCACTGACAAATGAAAACACCTCTTTAAAACATTAGCCGTTCATACTGAATAACTTTCTCAAATGTATGATACAATTCCTAGCCTGTTTAAAGAGAGAACGTAGGATACACAATCTCTGCTTTTAAAGAAATGAGTCAAGGTTCTTGTTGTGAACAATGATTGTCTTATCTTTAGTCATTCAGTAAAGTTTTCTAGGAATGACCGAGGTGTTGAGGCCAGCCGTTTCCCCCTGCCCTTAAAGATCATAGACTGTCATGATTTTTCTTTGGTTCTTTCATTTCTCATCTCACTTTTCTTGTTTCATGGTCTTAGCTTCTTCTTCCTCTTCTGCCTGCTGCTGCTCCCTCCTCCCTTCCCTCTCCTCCTCCCCTCCCCCATCCCCTCTGTCTCCTCCCCCTCTGGCTCCTCCTCCTCCCCCTCCCTTACCCTCTTCTCCCCTCCCTCTCCCCACCTGTTCCTCCTCCATCTCCTCCTCCTCTTCCTAGTGCTAACTTTGTCTTCTTATTGCTGTTGATGTGTCTCACTCACCATCCACCACAGAAATTTTTAACTTTAGCAGAGACTGGCAAAATCGTCAAGCTTGGTAGAATTATGAATAAATAAAGAGTAAATGAAGAGTGAATAAAGCCGATGGACTTCCCTCTGGGTAATTGTGATCTTTAATGTATGATCTGCAACGTCTATTTTGCCTCAGAAACCCGTTTGTTGGGACGCCTGGGTGGCTCAGTTGGTTAAGCAGCTGCCTTCGGCTCAGGTCATGATCCCAGCATCCTGGGATCGAGTCCCACATCGGGCTCCTTGTTCTGTGGGGAGCCTGCTTCTCCCTCTGCCTCTGCCTGCCACTCTGTCTGCCTGTGCTTGCTCTCTCTCTCTCTCTCTCTCTGACAAATAAATAAATAAAATCTTTAAAAAAAAAAAAAAAAGAAAGAAACCCGTTTGTTTTCTTTAGAATTGGCAGGGATCTTAGAATTGTCTAATCCAACATCCCACCTGAAGTAGGAATTTCCTTTAGAGTCTCTGCCAACTATTCATCCATTTCTCAGGGTTGGAGACCTCTGTCCTTTGGAAGGTGGCCTCTTCTTTATGGATTCCTAGTTCTGTTCTGCATAATGGTGCTAGAAAATTGAACCCCAACATAATGTCCATTGAAGTAGAATTTTTTTTTTTAAATATTTTTATTTATTTATTTTTAGAGGTCACAAGTAGAGGCAGATAGAGAGAGAGGAGGAAGCAGGCTCCCCGCTGAGCAGAGAGCCTGATGCGGTTCTCAATCCCAGGACCCTGAGACCATGACCTGAGTGGAAGGCAGAGGCTTTAACCCACTGAGCCACCCAGGCGCCCCTGAAGTAGAATTTTTTAAGGACCACTCTGCTCCACTGGGTCGTTAGGAGCCATAACAGGAAATATAATATCATAGCTAATAGTAACAAAGTGGATTGAACACTGCCGTGTGGCAGGCTCTGTTCTAAGTGCTTTACATGATTAACTCGTTTACTCTTTATTACAACCTTGCTGTAGAGATTTTATTTTTATCTCTAGTTCCCAGATGCAGAAACTGGTTCCTGGAGGTTAAGGTCATGCCGCTAGGGATAAGTGGTGGAACAGAATATGCCCCCGGGCCGTCTGGTTCCAGAGAGCAGGCGTCGGCCACTGTGCTTTGCTGCTTTCTATGGCATTTAAAGCATTAAGAACATATTATTGGAGGACAGAGAAAATGGGGTTTGAGTCCCACCTGTTATTAGCTTTTGTTGTCACTATTTTCCAGAATATCAACGAACTAAGATAAAGAACTGCATTTATGTGGACCCCAAAGGTCAATGGTTTTGGAATGCTTAATGTTAAGCGGGAGGTTTTTGGCATTGTATGTAATTGTTTGGTCCAAAGTCAGATCTTTCATCTCAGTCACATAAAAGAGGCATAAAATATGTAATCTTGAATCCTACTCAGCTCAAAGTGTGTCACATAGAGAGGAGTTTCGGTCCCATCCATAAGGTTGAGCAGGTAATCAGACAGCAGTTGGGTTACGCCGAGGGCATTTCTTTCTCTGACGTTATGATTTCTCTAGTATTTATGGACCGAGACTTAAGCACATCAGATTTTTCAGCTTTGGAGCCCTTGCTGGTGGTCAGATCATCCCAGTAACAAGTGTAAACAGACTGGCTGTGCATTCCTACCCAGACCTCCTTCAGAGAGTAAACCATTCCACAGAGTCTGTATTCACTCTGACATCATGTTTTCCTTTGTATGTCAACTAGTGAAACGCCTTCCTGGAGCTTCTGAGTATCCCGTCAAAGACTTGAGTACCCCTCCCAGTGCTTCAGGAAGTGGACGAAACGCCGGGCCTGCAAGCAGCCCCAGCAGAAGCAGCGACATGTTGTATCTGATTGTTGGCTGTGTGCTCGGTGTCATGGTCCTCATTCTCATGGTCTTCATTGCCATGTGCCTGTGGAAGAACCGCCAGCAAAACACCATACAGAGTGAGCCATTCATCACTCTTTCCTTGTCTTTTTCTAAAGACGGGTAGGAAAATATTGTCAGAATAAATATTGATCCCTAATACTGTCGTGGGTTCTTGTCACGGTATAAAGTGCGTCAGTTACTCTGCAGTCAGGCGAGGTGACTTTCAGACTGTTTGAGCTGTCAGCCGGAGCAAGTGGAGCATCACATAAAATTGCCCAGTAGAAATAAACAGCAAAGCCAAAACCGGGCAGGTCTCTCAGTAAATAGCCGACTGTGCTGGGAAACTCTGGCTTTGTCAGACCACCGAAGAGCTTGCGTTCTTGAAGCATGGGCTGTGGAATTGCTGCGGGAACACCTCCGTACTAGTGCAGGTCTTGGCAATAGGAGTAGGAAAGGCTGGAAATGAGGGAGAGGAATACTTTTCTAAGTTACTGTTACGGAATGACCTCGGTTAAGGTCCTGTTTCAGTCCCTGAGGTACCAGTACTGCTCCAGCCTGGCATCTCTTTCCCCCTACGTGTGTCTAGTAATGGGAGTGATGGTGCCATATGACAACAGATAACCTAGAACCCCTTTTCCCTCTTCTTTCCCTAGTTTCTCTCCTCCCCACCTTTCTTCTTTCTCCCAGCTCTGATAAGACAAGGGGCTCGAATCAGGCAGAGACTTTAGTCTTTGGTGGGAGGAGGTTTTTTGGTTTCCCCTTTGACTCCAGAATAAGAGAATCAAAGCTAATAGCTCAGGGGGAAAGAAAAAAAGGTGATTTGTTTCTATTGAACTGGTGCTTTCTAGGAGATAGACAGGGAGAGAGGTGGTGGTGGTGGTGGTGATAGGCTTAAAGGGTTGGAGAACATTTGATTGAGTCTTTTTCTAAATTGGTATCGTGTCATTGACTTTAATCCTGTGAGTGTGCACTCAGTCCTTAAAAGAGAAGTGCTGCTCTAGTTGTCTAAGCAAGCTTGATCTTGTTAAGGTCATTTTCCTTTGTGACTTGGTGATATGTTCAAAGATGGAAATTTATGGTAGTGATTTCCATTCAGTCATATTCAGAAGATACTCACTGATTGTCTTTGATGTGCCTGGCACTGTGTTAGACAATGGGGATACAGTGGTAAGAAACTAAACCTGGCCTCTGCCCTGACAGCTTATAGTTGTTGGGGTTTTTTTAAGGATTTTATTTATTTATTTAACAGAGAGAGAGAGAGAGAGAGAGAGATCACAAGTAGGCAGAGAGGCAGGCAGAGAGAGGAGGGAAGCAGCCTCCCTGCTGAGCAGAGAGCCCGATGCAGGGCTCGATCCCAGGACTGTGAGATCATGACCTGAGCTGAAGACAGAGGCTTAACCCACTGAGCCACCCAGGTACCCCTGTCAGCTTATAGTTTAGCAGAAAAGATAAGCAGGTATACCGACGATAACTCACCTGTGCAAGAAGTTGGGTAACAGGAGGAAGGACACCTCATCTAGTACTTGGCCTGCTCTAAGACCTTTGAAGAATTTATCAAAACTGCCAACAAGTCCTGTACAATTTAAGTGCTGTATTTTCTAAGGGCTGTTCCACTTTTTCTAAATACGTGTAGCAAGTGTGCCTCTGGAATTTGGAATTTTGAGGCAACTATTTAAGTGCTTTTCATAAAAGGAAATGGAATCATTAGCCTTTTGCCTTTAGTACCCCACCACTTCCACATGGGCTGTATGAACCAAGGAACCGATCATCAGTGGATGTATACACAGCTCCATCCTTCATTTAAAAGTGTTGCTTATTACAATTTAAAATATCCTACCTAACATTTGCCTTCTGTTGTTGTTTTATAATTTCCCTCGGCACTTTGAAGTGTGTAGGAGTTTAAACACTCTCTTTTAATGTTGCCGGTACTCAGATGGTTGCAACTTGCATGATTTATTAATTCTCTTGAGTAATTTCTCTCTGGTTAATTTCTCTTCCCACTAACAAGGCCTTAATTAACTCAGAGTTCCTAGCTGTCTCCACACAAGGAAAGAGCCATAACTTTCTTAAAGCCTATCTCATAATTAGACTTTAAGTGAACACATTCAGGGCATTTTATTTTAGTGTATTTATAGTTTCTTAGGGGTTTATTAATAAAACTGCCTAAGCAAGAAGATTGTCTTTTTCATTATCTTACCTTTCCCCGCCCCCCCCCGCCTTTTTGTTCTCTCTTAACAGAGTATGACCCTCCAGGATATCTCTACCAGGGGTCAGATATTAACGGGCAGATGGTGGAATATACTACTCTGCCTGGCACAAATCGGATAAATGGGAATGTTCATGGAAGCTTCATAAGCAATGGCGGTCTCAGCAATGGCTGCTCCCATCTTCACCATAAGATCCCCAATGGAGTCAGTGGAGTCATGAATGGGAGCTTAAACGGAGGGCTTTACTCGGGGCACACAAGCTCACTACCCAGGACACATGTGGATTTTGAACATCCTCGTCACCTAGTAAATGTAAGAGACCTAATTATAAATAAAGCCTCCCTATGCCCCATGGTGCCGGGGAGCAAGAACAGGGTCAGCCTACTTGGCTTTTGTCAACATAGAAACCTGGGTTTATTAGACTAAAAATAGTCTGTGTTACTGGCAGCGCCTTGATGGAGAGTAATCTCTGTAAGCGTTCTGTTGTCAGGTGATAGTTACATTCGTCATCATATATAAATCACTGGTTCATATTTTAAAATTATTTCACAGTGAAAGTGGAATCCCACTAATGAACTGGCTGGAAGTTATTCTTTTTCTTTTTCTTTTTTTTCCAAAGATTTTATTTATTTATTTGACAGACAGAGATCACAAGTAGGCAGAGAGGCAGGCAGAGAGAGAGGGGGAAGCAGACTCCCCACCGAGCAGAGAGCCTGATGTGGGGCTTGATCCCAGGACCCTGAGATCATGACCTGAGCCGAAGGCAGAGGCTTAACCCACTGAGCCATCCAGGCGCCCCTGAAAGTTATCCTTGAGAGTTTGAAATACCACTGGGTGTAGAGTGGACCCAGTACTTTAAATTTGCTTCATTTAGAGCAGAGTCTGAAAACTCATAGGCTTTAGAGGAGCCAGGTAGATCGTGAACTTGAGCAAAGCAGGTGGAGGTGGTCGCAGCCCGGAGAGCCCTAGCTACAGCTCATGCCAGTTATGGGCACACAGTACTGAGGGCCTGCGGTTACCGGGTTTTCTGATTTTTTTTTTCCAAAATATCTTGTAAATCTAGGCAAAATTGCCAGATTTTTTTACCTGTTGGCAACTACTTCCAATTTTTGGAAGCATTGCATAGGCCACGTGGAACCTATCTGCAGACCACCAGATTGTGGCTTCTGACCTATAGTTAGTTTCTTTTGTTTGTTGGGTCCCAAGTGCGGTAGGGTTGTTGCCTGTAAGATTTTTGCCTTTTATTTATTTATTTATATTTTTTGTTATTTTTTTAAAGATTTATTTATTTGAGAGAGAGAGAGAGAGAGAATGGAAGTGCAGGGGCAGAAGGAGAGGGAGTCTCAAACAGACTCTGCCCCAAGTGCAGAGCCTGATGCAGGGCTCAAGTTCACAACCCTGAGAGCATGACGTGGGCCGAAACCAAAAGTCGGGTGTTTCGCCGACTGCACCACCCAGGTGCCCCGGGATTTTTGGCTTTTATAATATTAGTATTCTTTAGCCACAAGGAGTGATAGACCTTGAAAAACGCTTTATTTCAGGGAGAATTCAGTGATACAGTTTAATTTTTGAAATGGGAATAGAATGACTAGCGTATTTTACATTTATGCTGGTTAAAGAGGTTCTCTGCATTAGGAAGTTTGATTTATTACACTGTTTGGCTGTGCATCCACGTTTTTCATTTTTCAATGAAATTGAAAATTTTTCAATCAAATGGGTGATACATTTGGTTGCACTCATTGTGTAATCAAGCACTCATTGAAGTTTTTGTCATTGTTCTGATTACAGACAAATTTGCCATAACCCACGAAGTGCTAAAATCTGAAAAAGTTCAGAGTTTTTTCATCCTCAACTTCAACAAAGATTTAGTAAAATATTGCATTTGGAGAGCAAAACTGTAATACATATTTGTATCTTAGAGCTGGGCATCTAATGGGTTTTGGGTGATCTATTTTTAGTGTATTGTAGAAAAATACCTAGTTTGCTTGAGTGCATCTCATTACCAAAAGAGAATAATGATTTTATTATTTTACGTGGAAAGACATGGCTTATATTCAGACTTCATAAACGTTTTGGTCACCATTCCTGGTCCAAACTACTAACAGTGTCCAAGAAACGAAAGGAGAGAACATTAAGGTTTGAATAGCACATGCTGTTTCCGTAAGAAGAAAAAAAATAAACCTGATGTTTGATTGAGGATTTGGACACGGCAGTTTGGGTTTTTTTGAACAATGAATTACTATTTAAATAATAGTTGCCCCTTCAGGTGTACAATTTTAGAGGCTCTCATCTGCGGTTTTTACTCATTAGTTTTCTTATCTTTTCTGGGTGGGAGGAAGTGGGGAAATTTTCAAAATACTGGTGATCATAAAAATCATCGAATTAACTTTGATGTGTTTGGTGATTCAAGTAACACATTACCCCGTAGGCTGACTTCATTTTGCGAAGCTTTGAAGCTTCTGCTCACAGATGGAACGTAACAGAAGCTATTCTTTCTCACAATGTTTTCTTAAAAATCCCTGTTGCTAGTTGGATCAAGAATGTTGAGGGTCGTTTTCAGTACTTTGGGTTTGCTTAGATTCTGGCTGTTGTTACGGGATGAATGGAAATGGAAAGTGTTCTGGGAAAAACAATTGCCTGAACTTTCCTTAACCTTGAAGAACTGCCCTGGGTTTGGGTGCACTGTGACAACCTCTCCCACCCTTATCAGACTCCGTTCTGCTGGTTTTCATCTGAAAGCAGAGTTTTTACTCTGACCGAAAGGCTGGTTCAATTCTGAACATCAGTTGTGGAGAACTCTTGACATTATATATGTCAAGCAAGCATTTTACAATGAGGTATGTGTTAATCCGGGCATTTTTCTTAATTGCCGGGCAGTTTCCGCCAAAAGCAACATCAAAATATTAATCCTCCCCTCCAAGTCATTGCTGGCTGAGAATCTACTCCATCTGGAAAAATATAACGTGTTCTAAAACTTAGTGGAGTCAAGTGAACAGACCTAATCGAAATAATTACAGGAAAATGAAGATGGGTTTATCTTGTGACATCATTCAAACAGATTTCCACCCTGTTTCTCTAACTGGCATCACATGAAATCGTTCCTTAACTGCTAGAAAAGTAAAAATGAACAGGAGGTTCTAAAGTACAGTGTATTTAGGACCCAGTAGATTTGAACCACTGAAGGGGAAGTGACTAAATTTCTCCATTTCTTTGGCTCCTTTCAGGACAAAAATACATGGAAAAAACATGGCCGTCAGCTTGTAAAGTGTAGTTTCAGTGTTGTATGGAACTTGCTTGTAACTATTGGTGAAGAATGATAAGCGTAACCTTGTTTGGGGTTTGGTTGAAATAGACCGTGTAGCTGTTTATCACTGGCCTGGCTTTTCCATTTGGGGCTGTTCAGTTTCAGGTCTGTGGTATCTTCACGATGTGTGTTTCTCTTTTTCCCTGTACTTCTGTCCCTGACCAGGGTGGTGGACTGTACACAGCAGTACCCCGGACCGACCCGCTGGAGTGTGTTAACTGTCGAAACTGTCGGAACAACAACAGGTACACGGCTCTGTGTTTGCATGGGTTGCTGGGAATATGGGGTAGGACTCTTGTTTTTGCCCCCTCCACCAAAGGAGGTTCTTGACAGTACCTAGGCTATAAATCTCAGAATTTGGAGACTTAAGTGGAGGGCTGTTACTAATTTTTTGGCCCTGCTTTGTAATCTTCACCTTTCTGAGCCTTGGGGTCTTGAGATAGATGGACAGTATTAAAGATACTGTTTCCTACTGAGATATTATTAAAAGTTTTGATGTTTGTGAAATCTTTAGAGTCATTTCTATATACAGACTTTGTCTTTTTTCACCTGTTCTTTTCCACTCTGTGTTATGAATGAGAGTGTGTTTGAATGTTAGGGGACAGATAAATGTATAAAGTAATGTGTTTTCATAAATTTTCTTACAGGATTATTCAGTACCTTTTTTTTTTTTAATTCTTAAAACCTTGCAATAATTAAGTAGCAAAATCTCACTTTTTTTTTTTTTGAAGCTTTCTTTTAATTTGGGGTATTTGAAAAAAATCATTAAGTGACATGTGCACTTATAATATTTCACACAAGATAGAAAAATGTAGAGTAACATGTCCATTTCAATTTTGACAATATCAAGGAAGCTTTCAGGCTGCCTCTATACATAATAACTCCAAAAGAGTGTCAGATTTTCCACTGTTTTAAAGTTGTGTCCTTCAGAAACCTTAGTCCTTTTTCTCCCATAACAATGGTATTGGGTGACATTGTCTCAGAAGTCCTCCCCAGCCCTAAAACTCTACAATTTAGCAATTGTGTTAGAGTTAGTACATTAAATATAAGTATGGACTGGAGTTTGGGTATTTCATTATTGAAATGGAATGGGACCTACGTTTTTTAAATCATTTACAAGGTTAAGAGCTGTGTCTGGAAATTACCAAAACCAGAACTTGGAAGTAGCTGGTCAACTACAGATTGACCAGTACATTTCTCAGCGTGTGTTTTGAGAGTCACATAGCAAAAGCAATAAAACTTCCTGGAGGTTTGTCCTTATCTTTTACTTAGCCCATCTTAGGGTGTCTGTGTTAGCAAGAGCTATCTGCCTATTTTGTGTACTGAGTTGTTTGTTACATTTTTAAAATTCTGTCTGACCCTAGCTAAATTTTAAGTTGTTTATAACATTGAAGCCATATTTTTGTCCTGAGCTGGCTGTAGGCTTTATCACAGTTTGTTAAGAACATACTAAAGATGTTTCATACACCTGGTAAGTAATCAAATAGACCTAATTGAGACAAATGGTATTGCCTAAAGACGTAATGTATTTTTCTATGTGATTCTTGTGGCCATCGGCAGATCTCAGTTCAACATTGGCATTAAAGCAATGTTACAGGAGAACCTCGGGCTTGAGAATAAGCAGACAGACATAGGATTTGCTGCTGCTTAAATCCGCAATCTTGGGAAAGTTACATAATCTCTCTGTGGCTATATCCTTATCTGAAAAATGGAAAATTGCCCTAGGAAATGTAAAATCACCCCAACATACTCTGATGATAGATTTTGGCAATTTGCTGCTAATCATGTCTTTATGATGAAGTTACCATCCTGGTACCAAAAAGACATCCCATTTCTTAAAAGAACTTTTATGAGCGGTTGTACCATCTTGCATTCATGGCCATTTGTATATTTGTGTGGGTGAATGTGTGTGTGAGTGAGTATATGTGTATAGTATTGGGGGCTTTTGTTATACGTTTTTTTTTTTTTTTTTTTCCCTTTAAGACAGTGAATGGGCAGTTACAGTTCTATTAATTTTTTAAGTTGATGACTTCTTGCATTTCATGTGTGGGGGTTTTACTCTTACCTAGGAACATAGGTGTGTTCTCTTTAGTCTGAGAAAATCAGCTTCTGTTTGTCCCTGGCTTAAATTTACTTCTTTCCTACTTGAGTGTCTGCCTATTTAGGGCAAGTCTTGGCTTGCCTGTGTTGCCTCCATGGTTAGCCAGATGTCTCCTCTGGCTCCCATGAGCCATTATGTGATTTTGATGCTTAGCAATCTGCCAGATAAATATCAGTAAATACCTACCTTCAGCTCTGGAAAATTGGAATCATTAAATTTGAAGCTTCTAACTCTTTTGACTTTGAAATCGAAAACAGCTATCTTTGCTCAAGATACCCCAACTGACAAAATCTGGAATAAGCTTTGAATGCTGAGAGGCAGAGAAGCACAATTTTAGTGCATTTACACTTTTAGAATGTTGACATCACTAACAACACCTTTACATCTCCGAATGCCCGTTGAACTAAGGTGGACACACTTAGAGGCATAATTTTAGTTATGTTAGATGAGGGCTCACCTAAGGGTGAACACGGGCGTGCCTCGTTTTATTGTGCTTCTTCTCTTTATCGCACTTTGCTGATACTGTGTTTTTGTGGCCACCGTGTATCACGCAAGTCTGTCGATGCCCATTTGCCAATAGCATCTGCTCACTTTGTGTCTCTTTCACATTTTGGTAATTCGGGCAGTATTTCAAATTTTTTCCTTATTCTGTTATCGTAACCTCATCTGGGATTGTGACTCTCTGAAAGCTCAGATGATGGTTAGCATTTTTTATTTTAAGCAATATTGTATTTTTTTAATCGAGGCATGTATGTTTCAATAATAAAGGTGTGGGAGGGATGTGAGATTTTTTTTATGTTAAGCAGAAGTGGGGATATTGGTTAAATGTTGAAAAACAGTGGGTTAATTGCATCGTATTTCTCTGGAAGATTTTTGAGAAGGGGAGCCCTGTATTCGAGAGATGTCTTTAGGCTTGATTAGTGGTAGCAGGGCACAGTGGGATTGCAGGGAAGAGACCAGCCTGGTGGTTTCTGTAAAGAAGACCCTAGCTTTCGTGCAAGGAACGGGTATAGCAAGGAAGAGATGGGGGAGGTTCTAGTGTGGGAATCTTTTTTTTTTTTTTTTTTTAAGGCTTATTTGTTTATGCGAGAGAGGGGTGGGAAGGGGCAGAGGGAGAGCAAGAGACAGAATCTCAAGTACATTCCCCGCTGAATGTGGACCCCAACATGGGTCTTGATCTCATGACCCTGAGATCATGACCTGAGCCAAAATCAAGAGTCAGATGCTTAACTGACTGAGCCACCCAGGTCCCCCTAGAGTGGGACCCTTTAGGACTTGGCCATTGACTGATAGGGATCTAGAAAAATAAAGGAGGTTCAAAATGATTAGAAAGTTTCAAGCATGGGTGGCATGGTAATTGCCATGGTAATAGTCATAGAAATGAGGAACATAAGGGGCACCTGGGTGGGTCAGTGAGTTAAGCATCTGCCTTCAGCTCAGGTCCTGGGATTGAGCCCCATGTCAGGCTCCCTGCTCAGTGAAGAGTCTCCTTCTCCCTCTCCGTCTGCCCTCCCCCAACTTGTGTTTGCTCACATACTCTCTCTCAAATAAATAAATAAAATCTTGGAAAAAAGAAAGGAAGGATGGACAGACAGATGGGGGAACTTAATAAAATGACATACTGAGAAAAAGGGACGAATTTGGTTTTGGGCATTTAGAGGTCCAAGTGCCGGTCGGCTGTCTAAGCCAAGGAGACAGATGAAGGTGCTGGTTCAGGGGGCAGATCGGTACTATGAGACATATTCAGGAGTCATTTGCATCTAAGTAATAGAACTTAAATATGGGTGAGATCTCCAAGGGAGACAGTAGCCATGGCTGATTATTTTTAGTTATTTAAGGTGTTGTTTTGCCCTATTTCATAATTATTTAAAGCGATTAGACATCCTTATTATAAGGCAGTCTCTTTTTTTTTTTTTTTTAGATTTTTATTTATTTATTTGACAGACAGAGATCACAAGTAGGCAGAGAGGAAGGCAGAGAGAGAGAGGGGGAAGCAGGCTCCCCGCCGAGCAGAGAGCCCGATGCGGGGCTCGATCCCAGGACCCTGGGATCATGACCCGAGCTGAAGGCAGAGGCTTTAACCCACTGAGCCACCCAGGCGCCCCAAGGCAGTCTCTTTTTTATTATTTTCTGCTTATGGGCTTGAAATGTCTTTGAGAAGCAGCACCTGAGTGGCTCAGTAGGTTAAGCATCCGACTCTTGGTTTCAGGTCAGGTCTTGATCTAAGGGGCATGAGTTCAAGCCCCACATTAGGATCCACGCTGGGTATTGAGCCTACATTAAAATAATAATAATAATAATAAAGCGCTAGATCCTGGTGCTGTTATTTGAAATGTCTTTGAGGAGATGATAAAGGGGTAGGATGGTATAAGGAGAGTGAAAGGAAAAAGCGTTCATTTATTCATTCAGCAAAAATTTGTTGCAAGTATGTAGTGGGCTAGACACCCAGCTAGGTCCTAGGACATAGGAAGCAAACTAGGCATTGTCCCTGCCTGGTTTTGAGCTTATAGTTTGATGGGGAGACATACCTTTTTTCAAAAGGATACAAATAAATCATAAAAATGACTATATACTTAAAACTGGGTGTTTTAAAGGAAAAGTAAAGAATGTATTAGAAAAGAACGGCCTCCCCAAGCATGTGACATTTTGCTCTAAAGCTGTGAAGAATTTGTAAAACTAGGTGAAAGAGGAGGGGATAGGTTTAAAACTTTCCAGGCAAAGACAAGGTACCATGTACACAAAATCTGTAAGCAGAATGCCAGGATTCATACAGAGCTTCAGGAAGACTAATGTGGCAGGAACCTCACAAGTGAAGGAGCCAGAGGTAAAAGATGAGCAAAACCAGGTCATGCAGAGCCGTGGTGAGTCAGCAAGAGATTTTAGGTAGGCCAGCATTGTGCTAGAACATTCTGGATGGAGTTTGGAGAATAAATTGGATGGGGCAAGAGAGATACAGGGGACCAATCAGATGGCTATTGCAGTAGCTCAGAGGAGAAGCTGGGCACTAGGATTGTTGCAGTAGACAAGAAGAGAAGTAGATAGGTTTATGAGATTTAGAAAGTGCCAATTAAAAAAAAAAAGATACGAGGGATTGGTTGAGAAGGCAGGCAAGGGGTTATCTAGATAACTTGGTGCAACCACTGAGCTAGGAATCACTGCAGGAGATGAGGAGAAACTGTTTACCCCTCAGCGCATACCCTTGGGAGTCATTCTTCTAGACCCCACATCAAACTCACCTTTACACAGGGTGGGTCTTATATTCCACAGATGCCTAAGAACTGAGGAAGTCTTGCTTAGGGCCTGACCCCCCTGTAATCTTAGCTACATAGTGTCCTGCCATGCCTTCTTGGGTTGAAACTTAAATGTATTTTGTAGAGTGGGCTCCTAAGAAACAAGTCAGTGCCAGCCTTAGACCCCTTTTATCATCCCTCTGTTTTGGCAGTAGCTATCTGGAGAGAAAACGTTGCTTTTATTGTCTAAATTGGAATACTGATGTGAAAATGTGAGAACAAGTAAGAGGAAATGTACATTGCAGCAGTCTGCGGAGTTTTATTGATTCCCGTGCTCTTGTGGCATGTTGTAAATGCCTGCTTCACTGTATTCAGCTAATTTGAAAGCTTTTCACGGTTTAAGAGTGATTTGTAATAGCTCACCATGGACAGCTAGAAAGAGGCGTATAGAATGTGGCTTTGTGGGGAGTCCGTCCCCTCCACTAAAGACTTAATTGAGAAATCCTTGTGCATTTCAAGAATGTAACAGATTTTAATCAAATAAATCAAAAGCGCTCTATCCTCCTCCTTCTCTCCTCCTCTTCTCAATTTAAAAAGGCAGTGGCGCGGTTCTGGATATGTAATCAGCTGGGGTTTTTGTCAGTTGCTTGGCTAGCTTAATGGGAAAGGATTGACGTTAAATCCTGCCTGTTTACCATCAGTCTTGATAATTTGCAAAAGAGTAGAGAGGACACTGATGGAATTCACAGATGAATGGAGAGGTCCCATAGGAAGGAACAAGATATTAAGGGTCCTAGAAAGATTGGAAGTGGGCAGGAAGTAGCCAAGTAAAAATGAGCTTGGAAAAATGGATATAATCCATCTGGGGGAAGAAGCGCAAGCTATACGTGGCTGATGGTCAGGAGGAGAGATAAAGTTAGTGCTTAGGAAGCGCAGATACCATGAATGATCTCCAAGATTTTGCCTAGTGATGACCTTTAAAGTCTGTGTGTTGTTGGGTTGGGGACACTCTTTCACCCACTGGGAACCTTCCACTGGAGTCCGATATATGCAGATAAAAATAGTGTGTAGAGAGGAGCATGCAAACGTTTCGTTAGAGTACTGGCTCATTCTGGCTTACGAGTTGAGCTGCCCAGCTGGTTTGTTAAGTAGGAAAATGACTACTTGTTGATTATGCCTAAATTCTTTCCCCCAGCAAGTGACTGTGTTAAAACTCAGTCTATCTCCTATGGCTGATCACATAGCTACTTCAGAACTCGCCATAAAAACCAGAGGCAGAAAACACACAAAACCTAAGACTTGGTTTCTTTCCCATCTGTGGTAATCTTGCCTCGTTCCTTAAGAAAAAAAGTTCAAAGCACTGTGATTTTTTTTTTTTTTTTTAAGATTTCATTTATTTGACAGAAGGAGACACAGCAAGAGAGAGAGAACACAAGCAGGGGGAGCAGGAGAGGGAGAAGCAGGCTTCCCACCGAGCGAGTCTAATGCGGGGCTCGATCCCAGGACTCTGGGATCATGACCTGAGCCGGAGCCAGACGCTTAAGGACTGAGCCATCCAGGTGCTCCTGTATCTGATTTTTCAAATTGCTCAGCACCTTCCTTTTGGGGAAGTTCTATATTTCCTACTTATAAGATGGAAACTAAGGGCCCGTTTTCAGGGAGTTAGGTGGTTAGGATAGTGTTTTTTGGTCTTTTATTTGTAAGATAGTGTGCGTATGAGCTTGTCATGTTCAGTAACGTAGTCATTTATTGTCACCTATTATGTGACAATCACCAGTAAACTAATTCCCAAAGGGCAGCTCCCACTCTGAGACGGGGGTCATTACATGCAGTAAAGAGTATACAATAAGAGTGGGGGACAGCCATGGCCCTGGGGGAATGTCATCGGGGTGCTGTTGCCTAGTAACTGATGAGCTTCCAAAAATAAGCCTGGGTCAGCAAACTAATGGAGACACTGAGGCAAGAGGAAACAGAAGTGAGCGGACTAGTAAAACAGACCACCACCAAGATGTGACTGTTTCAGAAGTCTCAAGGACATACTCATGAACGTACACGTCATACATCCAAGAGATTTGCGGAGATCCAGTCTTTGCCCTCTCGCCATAACCAAAAGAGGAAACTTATGCAGGTATCTACTCAGAGTAATTCTGTTCGTATTCGTGCTTATCAAATATCCAGCTGCTGGGTATACAGAAATGGAACACTTCGCTAGAAAATATTTTAGGGGTCCTCGGTAGTTTTCCTGGAATGTCCAAAATACATTTAGTGAAATACTCACGCAACACACTCACCAAGCGCAATTCTGTGCCAATCTCTTCCTTCCTAGTGTGTGTTCCTCAGATGGTTGGTTCAAGTTTATGACACTGTAATAGTCCTTCTTCTGTCTTACAGGTTTGTCAGGTCTGTCCTGTTAACTGAAAACGTATCTTGGTAAACTAACAGGTCTCAGACCACCTGAATCCGTTTTAGCACATATTTTTGTCCATGGCAAGATGCCCAGAGTTCTATTTACTCAATGTTTTTAAACTTAAAATTAAGAGAAGTCGTTTCATTGAGCCAGAGACAACTCCGTTAAAGCCTTCACTCTACCTTAAGCCAATAATAACTGCAATTGAAGGATTATCTGGGAACCCTGAGGCAGTGAAATTATAAACTCTTTGACTATATGAACTGTAAAATGTGCAGTGGAAGAGCATCTTGATGAATGTCAGATATTTGCAGATAGACTCATTTGACCTGTTCTGTTTCTCACTGCCTGTAGATTGGGGTCTTTATGGATATTCTTTCATGTGATTACCTGACAGCTTTAGAAATTTTAGTTCAGGGGGTGCCTGGGTGGCTCAGTCATTAAATAACTGCCTTCGGCTCAGGTCATGATTTCAGGGTCCTGGAATCAACCCCCGCACCAGGCTCCCTGCTCTGCAGGAAGCCTGCTTCTCCCTCTCCTTCTCCCCCTGCTTGTGTTCCCTCTCTTGCTGTCTCACTCTCTGTCAAATAAATAAATAAAATCTTTGAAAAAAAAAAAAAAGAAATTTTAGTTGAGGTATTAATCAGTAAAATTGTTTTCACATGCTGTATTCCTAATTCTATTCAGAACAGGTATTATATATATATTTCTTATTTTATTTTATAAAGATTTTTATTTATTTGAGAGAGAGTGAGCGAAGGAGAGAGAGAACACGAGCAGGGTGGAGGAGCAGAGGGAGAACGCAGGGCTCCATCCCAAGACTCCAGGATCATGACCTGAGCCAAAGGCAGACATTTAAATGACGGAGCCATACAGGCGCCCCATTCCTTTTTGTATACTTTGTCCTCTATGCTTACGTCTTATCACATAACCCCTAAGTTGAAGCCATTTTTATGCCAACACCTGTAGATACCTCGGATAGAATGAATACCTCGGATAGAATTACTTACATGTGGTTTGTGGTTATCTAAATGGTTAATTCCTGATGATTAGGAGTTAGGATTTAGTGTACTGGAAAATTTTAAATCAGTTTGGTGTATCCTCTTGGAAGGTGGGTCATTTAACTCGAAGTATGATCTTACTGTCAACACCGTTCTGTGATTGGAGAGTCACGATTCAGAACCAAAGTAAACGGCTGCCACTATCCTCTATTTCACTTTGCTGAAAAACAGATACCAAAGAATAGGGAACTATAAAATTGTACTTTTTTTTTTCTTGTGAAATATATGTCATTTCTTTTAAAACCTCTTGTGTGTTGAACCTGTGTGTTTGCTCCGGCACAGAAGACCAGGTTATCATCCATCACTGTTGGCCGTGGTCCCTCTGTCTTGGCCATCCCTTGGGTCCTACCCCACCGTGTGATTCACCTCGGCTGCCTCACAAAGGTGTCTCACACTCAGACTGTCAGGGCTGCCCCCACACTTCATTTAAAAATCTCATCCTTCACTTTAAATGAAAGAAATGAACAGGGAAAAAAGAAACTAAAAGGAAAGAAAAAGAAAAATTTAAGACTTCTTACTACCCGGTGAGTCGTCATTATTTTATGTTAATATTGTGAAATTTCATTCCTCTTCTGTGTACCCAAACAAATTATTAATTTATAAAATTTTGTTTTTAGGGAACTTCCCTGGTTTTTCTAATACTGGCAAGTATTTTTTTCTTTTTTTCCTACAGTTTGACTTTGCTTTTTTTAAATGAAAACTCTTCTTTCTGACCTGATGACCCTTTTTGGTCTTTTGGGTTTCTAGGGCCTCTGTGTGACTTCCAGATTCTTGCAAAGAAACGAGGCATCAAGCCAGAAGCTCATTAGTTAATTTTACAGCATCATCGTCGGGATTTTTGGTTTTTTTAAAGGACAAGACTGCGTGTTGTATGTCTCATTGTTTTAAGAGCTTTCTCTGACACTGAGGCTAAGCATTGCCTGCCCTCATGGGGAGTTTAAGTCAGATGACTTTGAAACCAACAGATAAAAGAAAACCCAGACAACAGAATCTGTGTTGAACAAGGACACAGATAACTACGGCAGGGATACAAAAATCTTCGAGGGTAAGTGTATCTGTTCATTCTCCCTTTAGTGGACATGTCTCACCTTAGTACTGGGCATTAACAAGGTATTATAGGTATTTTCCAATTAGTTTAGTCATGGCCCCTCCAGGCCCCTGATAATGAATTTACTTGCTCAAGAAAAAGGATATTTTTTTAAAAATCTGATTTTTTTTTAAAGATTTTATTTATTTGACAGAGAGAGCACAAGCAGGGGGAGCAGCAGGCAGAGGGAGAGAGAGAACCAGGCTCCCCACCGAGCAAGGAGCCCGACGTAGGGCTCGATCCCAGGACCCTGGGATCATGACCTGAGCTGAAGGCCAACGCTTAACAACTGAGCCACCCAGGCATCCCAAAATCTGATGTTTTAATGTTTATTAGTTCAACATTTTTGAGATCCTACCGTGTACCATGAACTGTATGCGTGGTGCTGGATACCATGACTTTAATTAGAGTCCCATTTACCTCAGTTCTTTACTACCTCCTAGACCATTTTAATTCCATTCCTTCTCTAGGGTTTTATGTTATTTTTGTCACAGGTTTTCATTCTACAAATATTTAAAATCCTCTAAGACATTACAGTTACTATTTCTTGAAATCCGTATTTATTCAGAATTCCTGACACTCCCTTTCTTTGTTGCTCCTGGTTCCTTTCTGTATTTCCTTTCTCGCATCTGCTGGCAATTGTTTCCTTCAACGTGAAAAACTGCTCCTGGTATTTCTTGTATTTCTTATAATAACAGGTCTGAGGGTCACAGAGTCTCCCAGCATTTTGGTCTGAACACATCTTCAGGTCCTCTTCCTTTTTGAAGGATCCTTTTTACAGTTCATTGAATTCTAGGTTGGCAGTTACTTTCTTTTTGTACTTTAATCATGTCGCATTATTGCTTCTGTCATTTCTGGTGAAGAATCATCTGTGCAGTTAGTACGGTTCCCTGTCAAAGTAATAATGTCTGTTTCTTCTGGCTGCTTTTATGGTTTTCACATTGTGTTTTGCTTTCAGCAGTTTAATTGTTCACATCCAGAAGTGTACTTGTCTTTGTATTTATTCTGAATAGCTTGGGGTTCATAGGACTTCTCATATCCGTGCTGGAGCTTTCATCAGTTTTAGCAAATTCTTAGCCCTTATGTCTCCATATATGGCTTCTGTCCCATTCTCTTTTCTCTCCTTCAGAGAGACTCCAACTGTATATGCTTTTGAGCTTTTCACTTTTCGCTATGCCTCAAGTGTCTTTTAAGCTTCCTTCTCTATTTCCCATCCTTTTTGTCTCTGCACTCCAGTCTGAATGGGGTGCGACGCCTGCTTCGTGTATGTGGACCTCTGTTCATCTGTGCCCAGTTAGCTCTTCGCCCTGTGAATTCAGTTCTCAATTTCAGTTATTCTACTTTTTTAGTGTAAAAATCCCAATAGTGGGTCTAGGTGTCTAGTAAAATTCCTCATCTTGTCATCTGTTTTCGTGAATATATGCATCCAGGTCTTTCAAAGTCTTTGCCTCGTAACTCAGTATATGCATCACTTATTTTTCTCTTGTTCCTTTCTCTTGATGGGCTTGGTAGTTTTTTATGAATTCTAGGCAGTGCATATAAAAACCACAGAGGCTCTGGAGGAGGAGTTCTTTGTCCAGAAGGATTGGTTTTGGCAGGCAGTTTGGCAAGGGGCACATCACTTTTCCCCAATCTGGAACAGAGCTGTTTTATTGCTGAGCTTCCGTGGCTACAAAAGCATTGTCTATTTCTACATCACCATTATTTGTACAGCGTAAATCTTCAAGGGTCCCAACGGAAAGTGTTTCTCTCTTTAGGAGACTCCACTCCAGTTTCTGTCTTCCCAATGCCATGAAGGTGCTGGGAGGCCTGCTCAGCGTCTTAGCTTTGTAGCCCCCACCTTCTGCTTGATGCCTCAGCCTTTTCTTTTTGCACTGAATCGGGCAAATGCCTCAAGAGGAAAAGTGGTATGGAAACTCAGGTTCAACATTTACCTTTTCTCTGGAGAGCCAGCCGTTCAGGTGCTTGCATTTTTGGGTAGTTGCCCTCTGATGACTTCAACAGATTTAAAGTAAAAATTTCTCCATTCTTTGTAGTAGTCCTTGGCAGGAGAGTCGTGATACAAACTAATCAGTCATAGCCAGAAAACAGCAATTTAATTTTTCAAAAGTTATTTCCAGCAAGTCATGGTAGCCATCTAGATTCCCCTGACCAGAGATATTTCTGGTTTGGGGAAATCGAAATCCTCCTTATTCTGTAGGTCTGTAATTGCTACCTGATGTAATTTCCTTTACTGTAATACAGTTGAGTCTGAACTTGTAGGAAAGAGTAGACACTGGTCTCTAGCTGGTCACATGGAAAGTACTCTTTCTCACCAGCCACACATCTATTACCCTTTTCACAGGTAAGTGCTGACAGTGTCTTTTATATCTTCTTATATAACCCCACGTCACACCGTAGCCATTTGTTTACTTTTCCCATCTCCTCTGTGTGACTGGAAGTTGGAAATCTGCTGTATTTACCTTTATATTTTTAGTGTCTACCACAGTGTCTGACATTTAGAAGTTGTTCAGCAAATGCTTTTAGAATAAAGGGCTCTTGTATGTAAGGTTATTTATATAAATGGATAATATCCATTAAATTTTCATTAGTAGTATCTGAATTCAGAAAGATAGGGTTTCTGTGGGTTTTTAAATTTTTTTGTTTTGTTTTTCTTTTGTTTTTGCCTCTGACCATGTCCCCCATTTTGGGTAAATACCTTACTTAGAGTCTGTATTTGATCCCGATGAACTGAAAATATGCAGGGTGAGTCTCAGGTTCCCTAGGCATTGGGACAATGGAAGAGACCAGACAAAATCCAAGAAGGAAAGAACCCAATAACACAGACATTACTAAATGGCTCAGGAGATCAGTGCTCACCTTTGCCAGCATCCCAGGGAAGTTTTTAAAATTTAGAGTAGAATAAGATGTAGCATGAGACAAATAATACCATACTATCCTGGAATCATGATCTGTCTAGCCCAAAGCTCTGATTCTGTCTCCAGCAAACTTCCTTCTATACTAGTGCTTCCTTCATTTGTTATTGGCTTAAGACATGCATGGAAACAGTTGGGTTTTATTTGAATCAGGTATATATTTCTTCTATATTATTAAAACTTAAAATATAGTCCTATATCTTTTACTCAAACTATTCTGTGAAAATTAATGCCTCACATACTTTGCTTTCATTTCAGGTGACAACTGTCTGAATTCCACTAAAGGTATAGTAAGTATATTTCTCTATTTGAAATGAATGTTGGACTTACTTAAATTAAGGATCTGGTTTTCTGACAGATATCTTACTCTCTTGCAGGTTCAGATCTTTCTTCCTGCCTAGCATTCAGTATTTCCAATAATTTTGAACCAGCAGAGATGCTAGTAACATTTTCGTGGACGTCCTTGACTGATTTTCATTTGCCCCAGAAATGTAACATTCCATGTTAAAAAGGTGGAAATCCAAAGAATGCTTACCTTTATTCCCTAACATTGCCTAGCTACATCATACTACCAGTCAGTGCTGTGTGTTTCCTACCTAACATGCCCAAATCAAAACCAAATGAAATGTCTTCATGAGAATCTTCTTATAATTGTGGAAATAAAAAGTATATTTCTCTAATTCCAGCTTCTGTTAGTGATGGACTAGCTTGATCATCTACAGGTAATAATGATGAAATCTGGACCATTTGGAAGTATTGGAGAATAAACAGAAGCAGGCAGAAACTGAATAAATCTAACCTTAAAAGACAATGTCTGACAGTTGTTCATGGATTTTTGCTGGAGGGCATTCTCCAGGCTTGGGTCAAGGACCCAAACAGAAGGTGTCGGAGGGTGGAGTTCAAGACCAACAGAACAACCAGAAAATTAGAGAGGGGGGGAAGCCAGTAAAAAAAGCTGCTAAATGAGTGAAGAAGTAGGAAAATAGGATACTTAAGGAGGAAAATGTCAATAGAAAAAGACCCTGAGGTGACACAGATACCACAATTAGCAGGCAGTAACTGAAGGCAGCTGCTATAAATATGTTCAAGCACCTAAAGGAAGATAAACATACAATGAGTTCACATATGAGGGATTGCAGCAGAGAAACAGAAACAATAAAAAGGACCAAATGGAAATTCCAAGCTGAAAGGTATAGTTAACTGGAATGAAGAATTTACTGAATGAGCTTAACAGCAGATTGGAGACAATAGAAGAAAGAATCAAAGAACTAGAAGATCAATAGAAATTATCCAGTCTGAAGAACAAAAAGAAGAAAAGAAAACACGTATCTTAGATGAGGGCAAGAAATAAAAGTAGAGCAGGATTGAAATGCTCAGTGCTAATAAATTCTAGCAACTAATTATGCAAAGAAAAATTTAAAAATAAAACTTGGATTTTGAATGTCTAATCTATGTAGTGTTTTTTCCAAGGGTGAGAGGGAACGTATTATCTGACTTCAAGGCAGTGTGTGTTTGTTGGCTTTCATAAGATTAGTCCTCTCATGTGGCCATAGGTTTCTTAGCTTTCTGTTCTCTTCTTCCTCTTTTTCTCCCCTATTCCTTCCAGTGACCAATGGTCTTTTTCTTCTGGGTGCTATATTCAGGAACCAATTAGTTGTAAAAAGGAAGATAACTTCAGACACAGACCAAGGCAAAGGAAGCCTGTGAGATAGGTCCTCACATATGGTTTTTTTTTTTTTTTAAAGATGTATTTATTTATTAGGGGAGGGGAGGGACAGAGGGAGAAGGAGAGAGAGTCTTAAACAGACTCCATGCTCAGCGTGGAGCCTGAGACAGGGCTCGGTCTCATGACCATGAGATCTTAACCCTGAGATCATGACCTGAGCTGAAACCAAGAGTTGGATGCTTAACCAGTTGCGCCACCCAGGTGCCCCCATATATGGTTTTATTCTTAAGTGGCTCCTGTTGTATTCCATTTTAACTGTAGTTTTTGAGTTCTTACTATATCAAATCATAGTGAATCATTTCATTATTTTTAAGCACTAATCTTTCTTAAGAACCTTGGAATACAAAATACTAAATGATATTTCAAAATAAGTGTCTTTTAATTTTAATCCCTCTAGACACAATCCTATTTCTTTTGGTTGTATTTTCTAGGTGTTTCACGAAAACTAACAGCACTTTCAGCAGCAGCCCCCTTCCTGTGGTCCCAGTGGTAACATCTTATCCTCAGGATGGTTTGGAAATGAAGCCCCTCGGTCACATGAAGATGCCTGCATGCCTGGCTTCCACAGTCCCCGACTGTGGCCAGTCACCTGAAGAGGACTTCAAAGATGACATGGTGCCAAGACCTGCCCAGCATACTTGCTGTCAGGACAGTAGGAGTGAAATCAACTCTGAGTGCACAGAAGATACAGCAGAGTTCAACAGAGGTACTAGGCGACATTATAAATCTTACAAATTTATAAATTATAAATGAGTTTCTAGCTGGTCTTTAGTTAGGTAAGACCTATAAGAGGACAGTTGCTTTCAGGACGTTCTCTCTGTGATCAAGTCACATATTTCTTAAATAGTGGGTGGGGGGTATTGGGTACTTCAAAAAAGTTGACTGTATAAGGAATTCTGTGAAATTCTGTTATTCATATCCTTCATCTCAGGATGTTAATCCCACTACAGTTTGGAGAATAAATCCAAGGGGGTTTGATTGGGTTTGTGCCTGGACAGTAGAGTTGCTGAAAGAATGTATTGTATCATCACGGGCCTCTTTTATCATTTGAATTGCTTCTGGAGTTGTAGCTTTTCCTTAGAATGCTTATTTGTGGGGCTTTAGGGGGTTTGCTTTAGCCCCGAGGTGAATTATACAGCTGTTCATGAGAGCTCAACCTTTATTTTAAGTCTCTAAAACCTACTTTCTTTCTCAAAGTCAAACTCAACATAACTGGGCTCTACATTTACTCATTACTCTTTTCTTTATTGCTCAAAGTAATGTTGTGAGACTGTTGTTTATAAATCTGCCTTTCTGATGTCATAATGCTCCCAAACCTCTGTGTTTTTCAGGAGACAGCTGTGTCCATTCAGAAACAGAGAACAAAATTTTAAGTTGGAATCCTCTTATTTTGCCTCATGTGTCCAAGGACTGTACTGAAAAGACCACCTGGTCTCCTCCTGGCATTCCTTTAGACAGCCCTGCAGGGGTCCTTCAGCAACCCCAAGAGACCTGAGGGTGTGCAAACGACCAGTCATGTTCCCACTTCAAGCCAGTAACTGCACAAAACAGGCCAGGGGATGGACTGTGTGAAGGACATGAATTCAAATCAGAGAAAATCATTATTTATTTTTTTTGTAGTAGTAATGTCCTATGAATGTATCTTAAAATGTGTGCCCTTTTATATTATTTATGCCTTAAAATTTCCCTCCTCCTTCCTCCCCCTCGGTAGGAAGCAACCTAGTTTTGCGTAGTTCTCAATCATCTGAGAGTGTGGCATCATTCCATGTTTCTGAGAACCTCAGTGACCATAAGAGCTCCTCCTGCAAGGATCCAGCCTATTGGCCAGTTCGGCTAAGAGGGAACTGAAGTTTTCAGATGGAAAGCTGTCTTTTGGTGTATTGTGTTATCAGACTTTCTGAGAACATTTGAAGTCACGCTTGGTTGTAACTTAGCGTTTGTAATAGCAGGTGTCTTATGAATTTGAGTGCCTTCCACAGAAGTGATAGGTGAGCTCTTGGCTTTCTGTCTTCACACGGGCACAAATAATGTTCAGTTTTCTAGGCACTAGTCACAGACGGTGTCATGATCATGGTTGAGGTTAAGGTCTGTGGAGTATGTAGACAGGGGATCAAAGCTAGAGAGAAAAAGATAGCCCTCTGGTCCCACTGCATCAAAATTGGGTTGGCTTATTAAATTGTCACTATAGGGCTCATTTTGACTGTTTCTAAGAGTAGGAACAAAATGAGTTTAAAGTGGAAAGAAAGTAGACTTGGAAAGAAAGACCCCCATTGTGCTCCCGGTGTCACACCACCTGAAAATGACTATTTTTCAAGCTTCCAGCATGGGCAATACTTGGACGATGTGAGTATCAGAAAAGATTTAATTTGGAGGGAAAGGGGTATGGTTTGAAATTTCCTGACTTTTTTCAGAATGTCGTCATCGTAAACACACACCTGAAGCTTTGATTAGTGGAGCCTGTAAATCACAGTTACGGCTCCCTCTGAGTGACAAGGACATTTGCAGCTGCCTTGGGAAGGCCTTTCTTCTCCACATCAAAAAAAAAAAAAAAAAAAAAAAAAAAAAACCCAAAAAAAAAAAAAAACACACACTACTCCTATTTAATAGCTATTTTAATAACTTGAGTCAAACTTCAATGGATGACTGCTTGTTTTCAGATTGTGCATCCCTTTTGGGGGAAAAAAATAGAAAATGATTCTCTTTATGTAGAGTCAAGCAGTTTCAGCAATAAATGAGAAAAGTTCACAGTTCCTCAGAATTGCAGTGAAATAGACTAGAATACTATGTTAAGCAACTGTTTCTGTAAATGCATCAGTATTCCCTTATGTATGCCTACGTATCTTATAAATAGAGCTGTTAGCGAAGTATGCTGTTTGAGCTGGGTCACTCTGCAAGAATGACTTTGAGTAGAATGTAGCGAGTGTCATTTAAGGGTCAGGTATTAGGGACGCCGTTGAATCGAGTGCTGCATTCCATATCGCCATACTAAGAGTATACTGGATTTATTCTTCCCGTGGTGTAGATGCCATTAGCTTTGCAGGGGGGTAGCTGCATCCCTTACTTCTGTGACTAGCAAAGGACAGAATCCTCGTGCACAGAACATGAAAACATACCGTGTTTGGCCAACCGAGACACAGCCGTGCTGTCACACAGGGAGTTTTAGAAAACTGGGGAGCAGACGTTTGTGGGCAGTCATTTTGATTCAGGAAACACAGGTGTACTAGCATGAGCCTTGGGTCATAAACTGCTTTTAAAGATTGAGTTTGGATATGGGATGTGTGCACTAGGAAGAGAAGATGACTTTCCCTTTAGGGCAATCTTACTGTGGACTGCTTTTATTTATATTATTAGTAACGCTGTTTTAAGTGTTATCCCTCTTATTGTATTTTATTTATAAAAATGCCTTTATATATTGAGACGTATAAATATAAATATATAAATATATATATATATAAAATTGCCTTACCGTTCAGGAGTTATGCATCCCTCCTAACCTTGAGTCGTTCTGAACTTGTATGACCTACCCAGTCACCAACAACAGTCCTGCCTGGTGTCACTTCCCCAGGAAGTCAGAGGACATAGGAGCATATCGTGAACCCTCACAACAGATCTCCAGCACAGTCCCCCACCACAGAGCTGGCGCTTCAACTCGATTTACCCGGAGCCGTAATCCGAGCTCCTTTCAGTTTTCCAGACTGCTTTCCAAATACATGCGGTTCCCTCTTGCCATGGAACCAGCCCGGTTCCACATGCTCTCTCCCGCCCTCCCCTGCTGCATGCTTCCTCTGACTCGACCCCACAGCCCAGAAGTTGTCCTCTGTCCATGTGGGCGGAGCTCCATGCTTGTCACTTGGTCTTCCCAGAATCCCCATATCTCCCGGTGACAGCCCTCACCACCACCACCCCCTGCCTGGGAATGGGATCTTCCCTGGGCCCAGTGAGCACGACATTGGTCAGGCCTCCTCTGTTCCTTCTGGTCTTAGAATTCTCTGTGGTTCTTTGTTTTAGTGTCAAACTCCGCCCCTGCTCCTGGTGTGTCATTTCACTGTGTCCTTTTCCCCCCATTACGTACCGATCGTCTGCTCATAGGTGCTATACAGGTTGTGAGTGAACTTGCAATGTTTTAACACCTTGTGAAGTGGTCTTTTAGGAAAGCATTTCTTTCTGGGTTTTGTTTTTGTGGAGTGAGTCTGTGAAGGCCAGTACCCAGAGAGCTCATTCCGGAGAGAGTACTGCCAAGAACTTGACTTCATGGCTGGATTTCACCTGTGTTGCTCTGTTTTTTTTAAAGTAATGGCTTTGAGATGCATGTTTTTGTATCCTATTGAAAAGTATGTTTTATTTCCCTGAAAGTTGTAATGTTATGTTTGGAACTGTACATATTCTAAATGATGTAGCGTTGACAGGTTTTGTCTGGGTGATATGACTTTGTATTAAAAGAGAACGCTGCTTTCCTGGAGAGTAGCATGTGAAGATGGGGACCGTCAGATACTCCCTGTTTGTATGAAGCTGCTTCTAGCTTGTGGTCGGGGTGGGTGTACGTCTTCCTCAGACCTCCATCCCCGTCCTCTTCTGAAAATCCCCATCGCATGTCCCAGAGCCACGTGAGTTAATCCCTTCTGTTCTGACCACAGAGATCCGGGCCCTGAAGGAGCAGGATCTAGGACAGCCAGTGTTTTCATGGGGAGCCTGGGAGTATCCCTGAGCCCCGGGGGGCTGTGTCCGAGCAGGCAGACCCCCCACCCTTGGGGGGGGCTCTGTGTCTCTGGAAGGAAGCAAGGAGGGACGGAGAGGAGCCTGAGGGGCATGGAGAGGAGTGAGCCCTCCTCGCTGTTGTCTCTGCTGACCATTGGACCATCTGTGTGAACCCCTGGGCAGACATTTCGCCTCCGCAAGAAAAGCAGCCCTAAAAAAAAAAGTGTCTGGGCTGCTTTGACCAGAAAGCCAACAGGGTCTTTGGCATGGGGTGGGGCCTTGTTCTGTTTTATTCCCTGTGTTGAAATAAGCCTCCCTTAAACCTTAGCTCCAGTCCTGAGAGCCTGGAGAGAACTTGAAATCCCTTTTCTAATAAAGTCAAAATCTGTGAGAACCTAAGAAGCAACTGTAGTTTCTGTCCCGTTTCCTGTCTCCTTTCAGGCGCCACTTATTCCTGGCAAGATCGTCCCCTGGCTTTCTTGCCATTGCTTCTCATCCGAGTCCCCCGCCGAGGCAGCTCAGCGTCCTGACGCTTGTAGTCAGTGGAACAAGCATTCATTTGTGTTCACCCCGATTTCAGACACACACACACAGGAGCCCGTGAGTCATGCTGGCAGCAGACCGAGTGCGACGGGAACGGCCCCCGTCCCCTGCCAGCAAGCAGTGGCACCTGGTCATGCTGACACAGACTCCTGGAAACTAGTGACCATGCCTCCCTCTGGCCACTTCGGGGTCCGGGATACTCCTCCACCAAGGGGAAGAGAGACACACAGACCCAGGGATGGCCACCTGGCCCGCCGCCCCTCTGATGAAGCCAGTCCCATAATTGAAGCTTGTGCTCTTGGGGAAGGAATGTGAGATTTGGGGAATAACTTCTAGAAGGGCGCATTTCTTGCTACAGTTGAATGAACAGAGCACATACCTTCAGATCCTGCTTCCCATCTCCTAGCCACCCCGTCAGTAGGAGAACCTGGGACCCAGCCGGGGTCAGCCTCTCCCTGTGGGAACTGCAGGGGAAATAGTCTTCTCCCAGTGATAGCATCTGGTAGGATTTATTTAGCAACTGTTCAGTTCACAGGCTTTGTGCGGAAGCGGCTAGCTTGCTCATAACGCACCAGGCACCGTTCCCAGAACCACCCTTCTCACACGGCCTTGGACACCCGGTCATCTTTTCTCCAGTTATGTGTCTTCCTCATCCTTCTGTCTCTCCCTTCCACAAGCTGGGCCAGGCTGTCTCTTGTAACGAGGTCACTGAGAGGTGCTGCGCTGAGCCTTGCCCTTGCTACGAAGGCGGGAAGGGGGAGCCGGTGTCTTAGCCATCTTGGTCTTAAAACCAAGTGTGACAGAGGGATCTTTCCACCTCCCACCTGTCTCCTCTATGCGTATTTGGGGCCCGTCTTGGGACCTCATGGTGTTGCAGTCACAGTGATGGTGACATTAACTGGGGCATCCGTGAGTTCTTGTGCAGGATCCGAACCTGGGTTGGTGGATGGCAGTTCGATGCCTACAGGCACAAGCAAAGGAGACAGACGCTGTGGAGGTGTCCCTGATTGTTCTCAGGACCAGAGACTGAGCATTGTGCATGAAACTCAGGACTGCTGTCCTTACATATGAGTAATCATCTTTGGGATGAAATCATGCTTACCAGCCTCTGCCTCCAGGCCTTCCCTTGAATCCCCGTATTGGTGGCTTTGCTCCCTGAGGGCAGAGTGGGAGAGTGAAGTTAGTGACTGTTACACTTCCACAGCCTTACCTTCCAGGAAAAGGACAATCCCAACCCTCAGAATGACTGGGGTTCTACACTCACATGGGAACCAGCAACTGACCAAGGCCTGTAGGAAGGAAAGAAAGTGCATAACTTGAGCAACCCAGCATAGATTCCGGGAAAAACCCCTCCCTTTCCAGATAGACTCTGTCCTAGAGACCCCAGAACACAGAGGGGGTGGCCCCAGATGCCTAAGTTTGGGAGTTGGAGCCTGGATGGACAGCTAGCATTGGGGAGAAGACACAATTAAGGAAAACCCGAGATACCTTGCCCAGCGCGGGGTGGGGGTGGGGGGGTCTGCATCTCTCCTTGGATGGGTCTAGACCTGGCCCCCATGGAGTCAAGAAGCCCTGCCCTTGAGCTTCCCACTCACAGGGGAAAGTCTCCGGGTGCCGGGCAGCATACTGGAACACCAGCAAGGAGGCCACCGTTGCCACCACCACTCCTGTGCCCGCTGCACCCAGCACTGCTGGATAGGCGCTGAAGGGGGGGTCCGCTAAGGGTTGAAAGCGCTGGTTACATGGCTTTGGAGCCACTGCTGAACTTGACAACAAAGGCTGCAAGGGCAGCAAGCGGGCAATGCTCCGTGGTGGACAATCAAAAGCAAGACTGGACCCCCAGAATCCAGAGGTCAAGTCGTTACCAAGGAAAGAGGTGCTCTCTGCATGCCTCATGCTCTAGAGCTTTCACGTCCCCAGCCAAGTCCCCCATTTCTGCCATAGAAGGCAGAGGCCAGTTGTCTTGGCAGCTTGGGGGTGAAGGGAAGGACACCATGAAATATGGAGTTCCCAGAATGGAGAGAGAGCCGCAGGAAGCTGAGAGCGCACCTGTACCCTGGGAGGTGAGACTGAGGCACAGAGTTGGGCCCCTCCTCTTACTGAATCACCAGCACTCTGAACCCCACCCCATCCGCATTTCTTCTGATTCAAGCTGAACTATGGCTCCTACCCCCAGGCCCAGGGCCTCCTGGGCCTCCCAGGGAGAGATGGGAAAGACAGCAGCAGACATGACCTGAGGGGAGGGTGGAGAAGAGGAAAGACAGGGGGATGGAGGCATTGGGTGGGAAGGAGCCAAAGGAATGGAGTAGGGGATGCCCTGCGAGGAAGAAGAGGGACCTGGGTTTGGGGTTCGATCTTGGGGAGAAAGGATGAGTGCCTCTGTGGCCGTGGCCTCAGCACCTGGTGTCTTCACCTCGGAGGGGTGTCCAGCCGTGTGGTGATTCAGAGCCAGGACGCGGAAGGCATAGCGGACACCTGGGTCCAAGCCGCCCAGTTTCCGGCCCCGGCTCTCAGGCTCGATGTCCCTGGCCGCTGTCTCCCAGGCCCCAGTTCCCGGGCTTGGGACGCTGGCCCTCCGCTGCACCAGGAAGCCCGTCAGGTTCCCCGGGCCCTCAACGGCCCAGCGCAGCTGCACCTCTCTCCGGTGCCTCCCGTAGGTCAGGCGGCGGATGGTGACGTTGGGAGGAGCTGGGTATCCTAGGGGAGGGGGCGGGACACACGCAGGCACCTGAACCACTACAACCACAAGGTGTGCATGTACCTGGGGCCCCCAGCTTTGTTCTCTTTTGTGGAGAGACAGCCGGTAGCGTGGCACCACATTGGAGCGTGCCCTTCTGGTCTGTGTCACCTTGGTTTCCTCATCTACAAACTGAGCGAAAGGTGATTGCGACACCAAGGGGAACCGCTGGCCTGCATTCAGGAGCGCGTCGCAGTCGCGTTCACACCAGCCCATCTGGGTCCGCGCTGGAGAGGGCCTGTCGGTGCCCGCGGAGCTCACGTGTCCAAATTTGGAAGCAGAGGATTCCTGTGCGTTCCCCTCTAGGGGGCCCCTGCCCCTCGCCACACGCAAGCGCCCGCTACACCTGACTCACTCCGGACCTCCAGCAGGACGCTCCGACTGCTGCTGCCCAGGGCGTTGCGCGCCACGCACCGGTAGGAGCCCCTGTGGCGCGCGGGGTCGGCATCCCGGAGGTGAAGGTGGAGCTGGGCGCCCTCGGGGTGCAGCGTGAATCCAGAGGTGCCGCCTTCCACCTGCTGTCGCTGGGGACCCAGCCACAGGAGCCGGGCAGGCGGCATGCCCCTCAGGAGGGTGCAGCCCAGCCAGGCCTCTCCGCCTTCCAGCACAGACACCAGGGACTGAGCCACTGCCAGTTGCGGGGCTTCTGCGGGGACAGAGAGAGTCAGGCTGGGAGGGGTCTGCCATACCGGGGCTAGTGGGAAGGCTGGGCAGTGAGGGGCTGGCTAGCCCTGGAGGGCATGAGGAGGGGAAGAGAGCGAGGAGACAGGGGAGTGAAGCTTGTCTCTGGTTAGTCTGCCGCCTCTTCCAGGCTCCGTCCGATTCTATGCCAGCATCCTACCACCATCTGCTCCAAGCTTTCCTGACAGTAACTGTGTGCCTCCATGCCCCTCAACTACCCCGCTCCAGTTTCAGCTCCTACAGGCGGGGCCCCTGCCTTACTTACCTCTGTATTAACCGCCTCCCTCCCAGCACCTGCCAGTGGGGCCCCCTTCTCCCTAGTGGCCCACCAGTTCCTTGCCCCAGGCACAGGGCTGGGCCCAGAGCAGGTGCTTAGTTTTTATGTACTGAGTCCTAAACACCCAGCGTTTCGGGTGTCCGTGAATCTCCTGGGATGGAATTTCCAGCCCGGAGACTGAATAATAAGGGAGGGAAATATTCCCAGGGAGAATCTCCTGAGCGCGCCCAGAGACCAAGATATGAATTATTTTGTGAGAACTGTTATATGTGCCTGCTCCTCTGTGTGCTTTTCCCACATTTTTCACTTTAATACTTAACTCTTTTTTTTTCTTGATTTGGCAATAAATAGGACTGGCGAGGGCCAGATGAAGACAGAAAGAAAGCAGACCCAGAACCAATAGAGGCAGTGAGAGTAGAGACCTCTGGTGCCTGAAACATGGATGCAAGGCAGGAATATAATCAGGCATCTCTCATGCAAATTAATGCAAATGAGGGAGACAGAGTCGCTGGCCAGCCAGACGGGAGCTGTCCAACAGCCATAGCCCAGCCCCATGTGACTGTTGAAACCTCGCAATGTGGCTGGCCCACACCTACATGTGCTGTAACTAATTACACCAGATTCTGAGGACAGTAGACTAGGATACCTCATTCATAATTTTTAAAATTACTATACATTGAGATAATCATATATTGGATATATTAAGTTCAATAAAACGTTTCTCTTGTTTCTTTTTGCTTTTTCACATGTGGCTACTAGAAAATTTAAAATTCTATATATGGCTCACATTGTATTTTTATTGGACAACACAGACCAAGACCAAACGCCCTGATTTTATGGATCAAAAACACTTGAGTCCCTGAGAGATGAGTTGGCCCAGACTCACTTTGCATTCCAGCACAGACAGCCCCCAGGGCCCCTCCTCCTGATTCCAAAGGGGCTGCTCTCGCACCTCGGCCAGAACCAAGCCACAAGCCTCGACTCACCCAGCTGGAGCTGGCAATGGGGGTCAGGGACCCTGAGTGGGTGAGTGCCCTGGCAGGTGAACTCTCGGCCAGCCAAGTCTTCCTGGGCCTGCAGGAGGTGGACAGCCAGCGAGGGGCTGCTGCCATCCAGGGGCTGCTGCTGCCCATCCAGCCAGCTCAGCAGGGCAGGGGGCTGGCCTCCAGGCCATTCACAGCTCAGCATGATGAACTGGTCTTCGACTGTGGCTGTGGTCCAGCAAGTGGGGCTCTGGAGGGGATCCCCTGGACAGGGAATAATGGCTCAGCATGGCTGTACAGGAGGACAAAGGGCTTTGTAGCCCTACCTCTTCCTTCTTCCCTTCTTTCCTCCCTCCTTCTCTCCCTCTCTCCCTTCCTTCCTCCCTTTTTCTTTCCTCCCTTTAGATTTTATTTATTTACTTGTTTCAGAAAAAGAGAGAGTGCGCACAAGCAGGAGGGTCAGAGGGAGAGGGAGAGACTCTCAAGCAGACTCCCCATTGAGTGCAGAGCCTGATGCAGGGCTCAGATCTCATGACCCTGCCATCATGACCTGAGCTGAAACCAAGAGTCAGATGCTTAACTGAGCCACCCAGGTGCCCCTTCACTTATTGCCTTATTCACTCGCTCATTCATTCATTCATTCATTTATTCACAGTTACAGAGGGCTGACCATGTGCCAGAGCAATCATGGGAACAGACACCAAGCAATTACAATATACTTTGATGAATGCTCGAGTACAGGTACAAAGACAAACTCTCTGGGGCTTCAGGCAGAAGGACTTTAAAGACAGGATGGTATCTGAACTTCATCTTGGGTGGTGGGTAGAAGTTTTCAAGGCAGAGAGAAAGCTAAAGGCACATTTCAAGAGCAACATGCGAGAGGGCGGTAGTAATCTAAGGTCAATGACGGTCTGCTACCGCTGGAGGCTGGGAGACAGGCAGGTGCTGCAGGACTCCAAGCCCAAACTGCAGAGGACACGGCAGAGTGGTGGAGACCTGGCTGGCAGGGAGAGCAGTCGGGAGGGAGGTCTGAGCTGAGTGCTGCCCACCTCCTTGTTCACGGCAAGTCTTGGAGTCTGTGATCTGGAGCTCCGCCCCAGATCCCAGGGCTCCTCGAGGGCGCTTCCCCGGCCCCTGCCCACACCTGGAACATCAGCGCCCTGCTGTGTCCTGAGTCCACTCACACAGCGTGATCCTGCAGAGGGCGGGCAGCGCCAGGGCTGGGTGCTGGCCAGCACAGACGAAAACGCTGCCGTTGGGGAGCTGGGTGGCGGGCTGACTCCAGGTGACGTTGCTGAGGGCGGTAGGGCTGGCTCCCTGGGGCCCTTCCCACTGCAGCTGGGCAGCTGGAAGCCCCCCATGCCAGGTGCAGACCAAAGTCACAGCCCCAAGAGTGGGGAGCACAGCACAGGAGGGCTGCCCCTCAGGGGGATCTGGGTGGAGAAGTGGATGAGGATGGGCTGGACAGATGTCCCTACTGGGACACTGTGGTCCCCAGGCCCAGCAGGGGGCCTGGTGGCCACAAGGCGAGGGTAGGAGAGATAGGGAGAATTGGGTGGGTGGGGAAAGATGGAGTCCTCTGAGGGGCTGGTGAGCAAAGAGCTGAACTCTCAGGTCAGGAGGCAGGGGCTGAGGGGGTGAGCAAGAGTTCGGAGCCCCTGAGGAATCCCAGGGGCCCTTGGAAGCCCCCAGCTTCCCCTAGGTTCCCCATTGCCCAGTTTCTCCTTTTTGCTGCTGTGTCCTTTGCCTCATGGTCATTTCTCTACCCTTCTCTGTGCCTCAGTTCAGTCCCAAAAGCCGTGGGAAGATTCACTTGGGGAACAAGGTCCAAATAGGGTCAGGGGTTTCCCCTCTCCCTGCCCCTTCCCACAGATTTCACAGCCTCTCCCCCTGCTCAGCAGCCCTGTCTGGCTCCCCCACCCCCATCCCCGACAACGTCCATGCTGATTCCCACAGGGCACGGGGCTACGGCAGCCCCCACCCACACACTCACAGTAGATGGTGAGCCTGGCACTGGCCTGGGTGCGCGTGTCCAGGCGGCTGTTGCGGGCCAGGCAGGTGTACAGGCCTGTGTGGGCGCGTGTGGCGCTGGTGATGGTGTAGACAGGCCCGGTGTGGACCTGAGTGTGGTCACGGAGCCACACGTAGTGACTCGGGGGGTTGGATCCGGCTAGGCAGCTCAAGGTCACCTCTTCCCTCTCCTTGGCCCAGAAACCCTCCTCGCTGAAGCCCAGTGGCTCCACGGAGATCACAGGATTGTCCGGACCATCTGGAGGGCAAGGAAGACTTGTCCCATCTCCCCGGTCTTCGTTCCTTCACTCACGTGTATAATCTTGGTTGCACTGACCATCCAACGAGCCTGTGTTATGCGCCTACCCTGTCAACCAGTGGGCGAGGGCCCCAAGGAACTCAGGGTCTGGGAGGCATAAGTCCAGTCAAATATAGGTGCTCAGGGTCTGTGGAGGCAAGCTCCCTAGGCTGTGGGAGGCTTCCCAGAGGGAATGAGGGAGGGGGACGGCAAGAGCTGGCTAGGTAGGAGAAAGGTAGGGCGCCAACCTTCCCGGTTCGGGGAAGCCAGTATCATCCTGGGACAGGGACGCTTGGCCCCTCTAGACTGGAGAGGGCAGAACACAGGGTGTGACGATGCCCCGACCATGATCCCAGGGCCAGCCCTTCTCACTTCTTTGGGTCACTGCCTTTCCTTCTTTCCCTTCTTTCTGACTCCCGTCTTTCTGACTTCCTCTGCCTGCCATTCTTCTCCTCTGTCTTTCCCAAGAACTGCTCGCCTGTCTCCTCCGTGGTCCTGAGTTTGCAGTCCCACAAACCACCACCCACAAGACAGGACAGCATGAGTCCTGGCTTTTTAAATCCTCTAGATCAGCATCGTCCAACAGATCCACAGATCTTTTTAAATTTTCCAGTTTTAAATTTCCAAATCTTAAAAAAGGAAAAATGGCTAAACCCAACCAAGCAAAACAGCATCAATGGATTTTAATAATTTTAATAATATTTTGTATTTAACCCAATACACCCAGAATATTATTTCATGTATAATCAGTTATAAAAACTATTGACGAGCTATTTGGGGTTTCGGTTTTTTGTTTTTGTTTTTGTTTGTTTGTTTGTTTGTTTTGACTCAGTCTCCAAAATCTAGGGTGCCTTTGGTAGGCTGAGCACAACTGTTTGGTTCAGGCAAATCTGCAGGGCTCGAGCCCCATGAATGGCAGCCATGTTGGACAGTGTGGCTCTAGACTGTCCTAGTCGTCTTCCTTTCACACAGACTTCTAATTCCATTTTTAAATTATTTTTTTTAATTGCAAAATTTCATTAGTTTTATTTGTTCTCTTTACTGAAAGAACTACTCTGGTCATTTGTTCACTTTTGTATTAGGGTGTATTGTATCGTCTGTATTAGGTTCTTCACTTTTGTATTAGGTTCTCCCTCATTGCTTGTTTTGGAGTTCCTTGTGAGTTCTGAAAAGTAAACCTTTGTTTGCTCTTCATGTGCTTTATTTTCTTTAATTTTTATTCATTTATTTGAGAGAGAGAGCAGGAGAAGGGGTAGGGGCAGAGGGAGAAGCAGACTCCCCACTGAGCAGGGAGCCTGACATGGGGCTCGATCCTGAGACCCTGGGATCATGACCTGAGCCTAAAGCAGACGCCCAACCGATTGAGCCCCCCAGGCACCCCTCTTCCTGTGCTTTAAAGACAGACTTCTGGGCACCTGGGTGGCTCAGTGGGTTAAGCCGCTGCCTTCGGCTCGGGTCATGATCTCAGGGTCCTGGGATCGAGTCCCGCATCGGGCTCTCTGCTCAGCAAGAAGCCTGCTTCCTCCTCTCTCGCTCTCTGCCTGCCTCTCCGTCTACTTGTGATCTCTCTCTGTCAAATAAATAAATAAAATCTTAAAAAAAAAAATAAAAAAAAAAATAAAGACAGACTTCTGATTTCTACCTTGAGGCTCTCAACTGTTGACTTGGGACCAACTTGCTGCCCTCTCTGTCCACTGTGTCCCTCCTTCTGGTTTCCCCACGGTCCAGTTGGTCCCTGCGAGGCCTTCAGGCTCAACCCAAAGGCTGGCTCCTCAGGCCACCCCTTTTACCGTAATTACGGGTAAAATTGTGACGCCGAATGTATGTGCATTTTCTTGGGAAGAGAGGCTCATGACCTGGAAAAGGCTAGAACTCCTGTAGTAGATCCATGTCTGATATGGGGAGTGGGGGGGCCCACAGTGCCCTGAGGCTCTCACTACTGGAGCTGCTCAGTGGGCTAGGTGCTGCTGGGGGGCCCTAAGGCGTGTCAGGAAGCAGGGTGCAGAAGGGAGGGGAGGTGCCAGCCCTGACCATGCACCCCCCATGTGACTCACAGATGACATCAAGGAAGGTGCCATCACTGCTCAGCCGGCTGACGGCGTTGTGGGCACTGCATATGTACCAGCCCAGGTGTGTCCTGTTGACCGGGTCTAGCCGAAGCCACCGCTCTGTCACCTCCACCAGCTCCTCCTCCTGGCCTTGAGGTGCCCGATGTTGCCAGGCAAATGTCACAGGCTCTGTGCCCTCCCGGACAGCACATGTGGCCACCACGGAGGTCCCCTCCACGGGGGACAGGTCACTCAGCCTCACCCGAGGCTTTGATACGGGCACTGGCCAGAGGAAGGAGAGGCCTGCATTTGTTATTGTGGACCCAGGCCCAGGAAGATGGGCCTGCCCACAGGGCCCTGGCCCTCCCCTCCTTGCAAGCCCAGGTTTTCTCGCTCCCCGGGGGCAAGGTCCTGTGGCACCTGGGCCTGGCCCAAGGCAATGGGAGGCACATGCAAGTAGAGGCAAAGCAGCACACAAGGCCACTCAGGTCAGACCCATCCCAGCTCGGCCCCTCACCCAGCACGGCCATCGAGAGGTAGGAGTAGGTGGTGTGCAGCTGGCCCCCGGCCACGTGCAGGGCCTGGCACAGGAAATGGCCTCGGGCCCCCTCCCGCAGCTCCCGCAGCACCAGGCTGCTGTTCCGTAGACTAACGGCCCCCAGAGCTGAGGCCCCGGCCTCCACCTTGGACTCCGCTCCATTGGTGACAGCCACGGGCCGGGGCGTCAGCGAGCCCAGGGGAGTGAAGCTCCAGAAGACCACGAGAGGGGCCAGTCCGGAGCCACAGGCCAGCTCCACGGAGCCACCCCGCACTCCTTGGATGGACGTGGCCTCTTCGTCAGGGCCTCGGTGGGTCGGGTGGGGCGGCCCTAGGGACAGAGCAGCAATGCAGGATGTCTGGGCTGGCCTGGGCGCTCCTGCTTCCCCTCCTTGGGCCCCTCGTCCTCCTTCCTGGAGTGGGTTTGAGCGAGCTCTGGAGTTTCTTCTCCAGCTGTGCTGTGGGAGCCGGCTGCCCAGGGATCCTTGACCGAGATTAGCAAAGAGACTAGAGCCGAGGCTCCCATCCCCACGTGCCATCAGACCATTGCAGAACCTTGATAAAAATATATACTCTGGGGCCTCATCCCAGACCACAGAGTCAGCATCCCCAGGGCGTCAGGGCCCGGGAATCTATATTTTCAGCAAACATCCAGAAGTCGATTTGATGATCAGCCCAAGATTGGGAGATCTGCATGGCCACTGGCAATTCAGGCTCGGGGGTGGGGGGGTGTCTCTGCATAAAGATTCCAGGGGGAGTCCAGACCCACTGCAGCAAGGGGAAGATGTCAGCAGCCTGCTGGTGGCCCAGCCAGCAAGCAGTTGTCAGCCGCTGATTATGGAGTGCCTGTCCCCATACCAGGCACCACGGTTACAAGGACAAATGAGCCACTCGGGGAGCTTTCAGTCTATGCTGTTCTTTTCTGCTCAGGACCTAGCATGGAACCGCGGCATGTGCCTGAGCCCCATGTTCTCCTGTCCCCCGTGGCCTGGTAGCTCTAACGTGCTGAGTTTCAGCACACACGGATGATGCCTCAGATGACAAGGCACGGGAGTGATTCACATTAGCTTCCGTTTGTTGAATGCGTTTGTGCGAAGTCCTGCACACACATTACTTGTTGACCTTAACTGTCAGGGTAATCACATCCCCCAGAGACTCTGAGCATGAAGTCACTTCGTCTCGAACCACACGGCAAGTGGTCGAGCTGGGAGTGGAGCCTGGCTGCCCATCTCAGGCTCTCCCCCACTGCTCCCAGCTCCTCCAGAGAGAGAAGGGGAGACAGGCATGGGCAGCAAGGGCAAAGTTCTGCTGCTCCATTGATCAAGAAGCAGAACCCTTAACCCAGAAGCTGCTTCTTCCCAACTCTGTGGACACTGCTCTGGCCCAAGCTGCCAGCATCTCTCAGCTAGACTGTTGGTCTCCCAAGTGCTCTCGGCAACCTGAAGACCATCCACTTTGGAGGCAACATTGGAAAGCCCAGATCTGACTATGTCACACCATGCTTACTATCCGATGGTCACCGACAGGATGACCCCAGCCTTGGGAGGGTAACTCAGCGTGCTTTCTGTGCCCTGGCCCCGCCTCCCCCGCCTGGCACAGAGCAGTGGCTCGGGGCTTGCTGGCTAAGCCCTAGCGGATAAAGAAAGCTGATGGACTTCATTGAATGGCTGTGCAAGCATTTAAGGGAGATCCCAAAGAAGGCAGCGGGAGAGATAGCAGGATGTGAGTGGGGAATGGTCCACGGGCGGGGTGGCCGGAGCATCACTCACCTGAGGCCCCTACATGCAGAAGGCAAAGGGGTGTCAGCAGCTGGAGGCTGAGCGGTCTGTGCAGAGCCCTCGGACCTCTCCATGGCCTCATCTCCCTGGGTGGTTGTCCACCTGGGGCTCCTGCCTGACACTCGGGTGCTCTCTCTCCAGAGCAAAAGCCTGGCCCCGGAAGGACTGGGGGTCTGGCTCGGGTTGCCAACCTCAGCCTTCTGCCACCCTTTCCCCTCTCCTGTTACCCTTGCTGGCCCGATGACAAGTGAATTATTTACCAGATGATTCACTCCATCCATAATGCAGAGTTGGGGAAGGCAAGACCTGGCTGGGACAGATCTAGGGGACATGCCCTGAGCTCCCTGCATTTTCATCTTAATGATAGTGTAAAATTAGGCACCGAGCATAGAGTTGAAAAAGGCCCTAGTCTCAGCGAGTCCAACCACCTGCCTGGCGTGCAGTCTCCAGACCTCAGGGGCGAGGAGATTCAAACAAATCTTCAAATGCCCTTCCTCCCCCCTTGTGTTTTGCTCATGTTTTATTGGGAGAAACTGGTAGACGGTGGAAGGAGCTCGGGGTTCAAACACAAAGTCAGGGTTTGACTGACCGACTGTGAAATCAGGAAATTTCTGAACCTGAGTTTTCATTTCTTTGCAGATAAATGAGGATAATAATACCTTCTTTCCTGTAATGATTATTGTGGGTATTAAGTGAAAACCTTTTATTAGCCTAGGGGAACCTTCTTGGGTGCTAGTAATGTCCTATTTCTTGCCTTAGGTAGAGGTTAAAGTTCATCAAGCTGTGTATTTTTGTTGTGTAAACTTTTACGTGTGTTTGATAAAATTCTTTATCTCTCTCTCTGGCACAGACACATGTACACTTGCACACATGCATGCACACACTCGGGCAAACAGTGCCCAGCATGTAGCTGGTGTGCTGTCCCTCGTGTCCCCAGTCAGAGCTGATCTACGAGGCACAGACCCTTGATACTGGAATGGAGACCAGCTGTCCGATGGCCCTGGCCGTCTCTGATAGACAACCTGACATGAGGTCAGTTTTCCATCCTCTGGTGTTGGGTGTAGGTGAGAGTTCCAGACCCCAGTGAGATGGGGGATCTGATGTCTGGTGTCAGGTTCATCAGGGCTCAGCTGGGGCAGGAGCTGTCAGAGCTGAGTGCCCCATGGGCTCCTCCTGGGCCCAGAGCGGCCCACCGAGGCTCTCTCAGCTTCTCCCTTGTCCTAGGGTAGTGGATGACCCCTGTCCCATTCTCATTCAACCACGGCCAAGGCTTTTCCATGCCGAGCCCCTGTTCCCTCCTAACTTGGCTTTGAGCAGGACGGGAGGTGGTCCCTGGGATTTAGGCTCCCATGTAAGGGAGACTCTGGAAGGGAGAGTCAGGGAAGAAGGTGTTTTAGGATTCCCAGAGAAACAGAACTGGTAGGATGTGTGTGTAGAGAGAGATTTACTGTCAGATCTGCAGTTAGCAAGCTGGAGACCCAGCAGGGCTTATGATGTAAGTTCTAGTCTGAAGACTGGCAGGCTTTAGACCAAGAAGAGCTGATGCTTCAGCCCAGGTCCAAGACAGATGTCTTAGCTCAAAGCAATCAAGCAGGAGGAGTTCTCTCTTATTTGGGGGAGGGTCAAATTTTTGTTCTATCCAGGCCTTCAAATGATTGGATGAGGCCCACCCACATGGTGTGGTTGGTCGTGGGTTGGGGGGGACAATCTGCTTTACTCAGTCTACCTATTCAAATGTTCATCTCATCTAGAAACACCTTCACAGACACACTTGGAATAATGTTTGGCCAAATATCTGGTCACCCCGTGGCCCAGTGAAGTTGACACATAAAATTAACCATTCCCCCCCCCACCCCACGAGGGCAGAGCTGCGGTCCTATCTGGAAGGGAAGAGGAGGCATGACCAGAATGGGAGAGCAGGTCCAGGTCTCCTGTCTCTGATGCTGTGGGAGCTCAGGGGCCAGGAGATGCAAGGTCTTCCTTTTTTTTTTTTTTTTTTTTTTAAAGACTTTATTTATTTATTTATTTGACAGACAGAGATCACAAGTAGGCAGAGAGGCAGGCAGAGAGAGGAAGGAAAGCAGGCTCCTTGCTGAACAGAGAGCCCGATGTGGGGCTCGATCCCAGGACCCTGGGATCATGACTTGAGCTGAAGGCAGTGGCTTAACCCACTGAGCCACCCAGGTGCCCCAGGTCTTCCATTTTTGAAAGACAAGAAAGTACAGTGGTCAGAACATAGCTTTGCCTCTCCATTACTATGTGATCTTAGCATGTAACTTATCCTCTCTATGCCTCCGTTTCCTCCTTTCTATAATTGTTTTCCTGAGTAGAGTAAATGAAGTGACACATACATAGCCTCTGCCTATTAAAATTATTTATGCACCTTCACCTGAAGAATGTCAACAATGAATTCAACAAACATTTCTTGAGCATCTGCTAAGTGCAATGCACCATGTTGTATACGGCAGGTCATCTCTCTTTCTCCCTTCTCCTCCTTCCTGTAGAGCATTGGCCAAGCCAGGGTACCCTGGCTCTGTGCTTTGCTCTGGGCATGCTCAGTGTCTAGGCCCAGGGGCAGGTGAGGCTGTAGGCTCCCCAGGTTTGGGTGCCTACTTCCCATCTTCCCCTCCTGCTCAGGTGGATGCAGGCCCCCTCATGGTGGGGCTTCCATCGACAGCCTATCTGGGTCCCAAGGGCTCACATCAACTCCTGCCTCATTGCTTTGGGAGATCCTGGAGGGAAGGAAGGGGGATGGTGTGCAGTTAGGAACGATGAGAGACCGACCCTAGAGCATTGTCTCAGCTCAGCTCAGCTCAGGAGAGAAGAGGTTACAAGGATGGATGTGGAGACCCAGCCTCTTGAGCTGTTTGAATGGAAATTGTGGAGAACCACGCTGAGGGCTCTGAATGGGTGAGGTCAGCAGCCTTCTGGAAAGATCACCCTTCAGCCCTCCTGTTGACCAGCATTGGGTGGGCACCGCAGTATCCACGTGACCCTGGGCAAACAACGTGTCCTGACCTTCCTCGTCCTCATCTTTCAAGTGGGCATAACACCGACGACACCTTCAAGCTGTTGGACAGATCAGACGCGACCACATATATCCGCGTTTTGTAAGCCCCGGCACCTTGTGTACACTCAGCAAACGTTCATTCTTGCCCTCTTTCTGTGTACGGGGAACTGGAATCTGCTTCCCTCATACTTCTAATCTCTGGGTTGAGTTCTTTCGCTGAAACTTGGCAAAACAATTCATAACCTTCTTCCAAATGAAAGTCATTCGAAAATTGAAACAGCATGTCCAGTCCTTTCATTCTCTACCGGAATAATAATACAAGTTACCATTTCTCTCCGGGCGTGTGCTGTGTTCTCCACACTCCCTGCGAAAGCACTGCATTGCACATTTTGCTAACAGGCTTGGACTCTCTCCGTTTCCCCCACACTCCTTGTAGCTCCATCCCTCTGGGCATTCTCCAGCTGGTCCCCACCTAAGACTGTCCCCTTGGGGCTGGTCAGGGGCCCGTGGAACCGCTAGGTCCCTTTCCTCTCTGACAAGGCCCCAAATCTCTCTCAGTTACACCGCGTTGGAGTTTTGTTCATCTGTCCAGTTAACATTTACTTCTGCGTCCCTGAGTCCTCACTCAGGCCCACGAGGAAGTCTGGACAGAAACTTCACATTCTGAGAGGAAATGGAGGCTCCGTGGGGCTCCCCAGGTCTCTTGAGGAGGTAGTTGTCCGGCGACAATGAGTGCTCAGGTTTCCCGGCC